TCGTAACTTGCCCCTCTCTTTCATTCAAGTACCTGAAATCTCTTCATCTGAGATAAAGCAACCTCAGCTCCCTCCTGTCTCTCTGCACGCTCCTGAGTCTTACCCCTGCCCTCACCGAACTTGATGTCAGCGGCAACAATTTCTCAATCATCGACTTTTCACGCTGCCCCCAGGTGAACCTGCTCAGGATGCTCAACCTCTCCCACTCAAGGGTCACAGAGGTTCACTCGCTACTCTCTACATCTCTGGAAGAACTGGATCTGAGTTATAATTCTGTGGAGACATTCAGTAGCCCACCACAGACCCTGAGAAAGCTAAATTTGTCTAATAACCATCACATACGTCTCCACTCTCTGCGTAATCTGTCTCATCTCCAGGAGCTAAAGGTGGACAGTAACCAGCTTGCCATCTTGATAAAAGACACAGGTGCCAATTTGAGCACACTGGAGCAGCTTGAGCTTCTCTGTGGAGGGAAAATTCCTTATCAGTGTGACTGTGCCCGAAAAGAGGTCATCATCTCCCTGGACAACGCAGACACTGTGTTTGTGGAGGACTTCCCACAAGAGTGTCTGTGTGCCAGACCAGTGGTCCAACAGATAACCACTCAGAAAACCACTCAAATAACCACTCAGATAAAGGATTTGTCTCTTGAAATGCACGTGACGCCGACTGCTGGGACACGCCGCCATAGCTCTCCTCTCTGTCTGACACTCTTTATGGGTTTGTTGTCACACCTGGTTATTTTTGTTGACGTTTGCAGCAAACTGCATCTTTGTTAGTTTGATTGTACATGTATACGGATAATTATGTATACAGGGAGGCTGTGTGTTGTTATGTCGCCTGTGTTCTCCGAAATGCCTGAGACAAATTTCTCTTAAGGGAGGCAATAAAGGCTAATCTTACCTTAGTCTTATCTTGTTTTAGTACCACTGTCTAATAAGGCATCCTTTATAAAGGGTTTAGACGAATGCCTTTATTATTTGTTAATACATTATTTACTAAAACATACAGATTAGTTACATGCCATTAAAAAGAACAACTTTTGGGTTGCTAAATTGTAAAAAAAAAAAAAAAAAAAATCCCTTTTGCTGATTGGACTGTATATATGGGCTGATTATGAGACAGTGGGCCCCTGGGCAGATATGCAAAGGGGCCCCACCACCTCTCGTACATAGGATCAAGACACACAGAATTTCTGGTGGTTTTGCATCTCTTTGTAGTGGTTTGTGTGTCTTTGAGGTTATATTGTGTCTTTTTTTGGTTGTTTCATGTTTCTTTGTGGTTATTTTCTGTCTCTTTGCAGCTCCTTTGCATCTCTTTGTGGTCACTTTGAGTCTCTCCCTGGTCCGTACATGTTAATTTAAGTGACATTTTGCAGGTGAGGGCCAGGCACTTTGACACTTTGGGCCTCTGGGCCATTGCCAGCATGACTGCCCAGTCCCCATAAGAACATGTTGCCATATACATTTCTGCAAACCACAGACACATCACATTTGTACGTTTCATGCAAATTATATCAGTGCTTCCTAAGAGTTGCAGTTCTGATTCCAGCTGTATGAGCTTAGTTTCTCCTGCAGACCACCATTCAGGACCAACAAACAACAAATCTGATTGTTTTTAGTAAGACAGCAGCATTTCCAGCTGCAATTGTGGAACCAAACGGGGCATTTTAAGCCAAAACATGACCTTTTTCTAACCTTAACCAAGTGATTTTTGTGCTCAGACATAACAATATATTAATCACAGCATTGTTAACACTTATAGTAATATAAAGTTTCAACATATCCACTACATAACAACATACAAATTGTACATATCTGTGGTTTGCAGAAAGGTACAATTGCAACACCTATTCCGGTGACTGTGTTGCAAATGACTTACCGTCCCAAAGGATCTAAGATCTAACTGCACTATTACCACCAGGAAAAGGCGTTTTCGCAACCTGGCAACCCGTAATTTGCTTGTATTAATGGTTTATAACTGATCTATAAAGCATTATAAATGATTTAATCATTAATGGTCATTAGTTACAGCTTAGAATCACTTTTTAAAGGGTGCCATATTGGAAAGTGGCAAACTTGTGAGTAATTAGATGTAAAATTAAAGGATCAATCAGTTTCTAATAAAAGTAATAAAAATGTTGGTATATATTTTTTTAAAATCTCATCATTGCTTATTACAATATCTCTGTGTATCTTATGATTTAAACTGATCAAGTAAATCTGACAAATTCATACTAATGTTATATCTGTCTGATCTTTTTCTGTATCATATTCCAAAATTACATAATAAAGATGTTTGAAGAAAATCATTTCATAATTCCTGCTTATCAATACTCCCAGTTGTGACCTTTGTGACCATCTTGGTAAGCACACCCTGATCACCCAGACCAGTGAAAGTAGATTCTGTCTCATTAATATTTCAGCGTGTTGTAATGAAATCCAGGTGACCCAGTGGCTAAGGTACACATGCCGAGGGGATGGCCACTGAGAGCATGAATGCACCTGTAAGTACTGTCTCTTTACAACCACATTAGTGTGGGGGGAAAAAATGGAAAAAATAGGAATTAAGACTGGCTTGTTTTGACCGATTTCCATGTTTCAGCAGTTGTGTGAGGGAGCTGAAACAGTGAGAGTGGGAGTTGTATTCACTGCAGTCCAAGGTAAAGCCAGGACAAACATGTGAAATCTGTAAAAGAAAGAAATCTGCTCTACTGTCCCTGGGGATTTGTGTTTAAATATTCTTCTGTGTTTGGGTAAAGATTGTGTGGCTATTCGTGAAGGAGGACGTGGTGTGGACTACAAATCGGGAAAGGATGAGGTAAAACATTTGAGTTTGTTCCACTTGACATTCTGCAATTTGCTCTCTGAAGTCTCTCACTGTTATTAATGTGTTTTCCAATCAGGAAGCAAAGTCCTTCTCCTTTGACCACGTTGTGACTGTGGACAACATACAGGTCTAAAAAAAAAAAAAGCTTCTGACTTCCAATTTAAACATACTCAATTATGCATCTTTACAGCTTTTCATTATCAAATTTCTGGATGTCTGTAAACTAAAAATCTGATTATAAATCTGCAGAGTTTCCACCCTGAGCTCCTGCAGCCTCTCACTGAGTCCATATCCAGTGGTTATAATGGAGCACTGATGATATGTGGAGCCTCCGCAGAGAAGATTAACACTCTGATCGACCAAAGTATCATCAAACAGGTGAAGCCCAAAACAAAACTACACTTAACAGTGACAGATTTAATGTGTTCACTATCAATCTTACTCCTCGCTCTGTCTCAGGTCCTGGCAGATCTGTTTGGTCGTGTGTTGTCACAAATGAAAGAGGAGTTGTTTATCTCTGTGTCGTTCCTTCAGGTTTGTCCTTCTATTTAGTAACATCACCATAAATCATATGAGACATGATACAGCACAGGATAACTTCTAATGTTTGTCAATGTCAGTTTTATCCAGATGGCAGTGCCGTGGATCTGCTGAGCCCCAATAGACAGACTCTGAAACTTGTTCCACATCCCGTCCTTGGAAGGTGAGTCCAGATGAAATAGATACAGTAAACAACAAATACACACTTACACCTCATTTGTACATTTAAAGAAATACTTCACCCCTTAAATAGCCATTTGTATGCTTATTATTCACCCTGTCTTATGTTGAATTTGAAACTTTGTTGTTTTCTTATGCTTCCATGGTGAACAAAGAATCCAAAAACTGAGAAAATTCATCTGTTTACAAACTGTCACACAATAGTGCAGTATTATCCATGTCTCAGTTATCAAGTTGTATGCTCAGTACTTCCCAAACAGACAGCCCTTTCCGATGAGGGAACTGAACAGGAAGTAAAACTCATTAAAGCTCGTCTCAAAGCCAGACTCCATTAACAAAAACAGTAGTTTTTACCTTGCCGAACACAGGAGCTATTGGTCTACCACTGCCTCAATCTGTAGTTTGTTTGCATTACTACATAACTATGGTGAATCCGAACTAACCCTTTCAAACATTAAAGTCTCACAATAACACAAACAAACTAACTGATCGAGAAAGCGGTAGACAAGCAGCTCCTGTGTTCAACAAGGTAAAATTACTAGTGACTTACTACAATTATCAAAAATTTTCTCCATTTCAGTCAGGACCACTTTAGTCAAACAAAACTTTATTTCCATTTGCAGTATTTTATTTGGCGGTATGGCTCTGTTATGGGGCCTCTTTGCCTTTCCTCAGGCCTACGCAAAAAGCCTCTTCCACGCGCCTGTGTGGAAAGCCTAAGGCGGAGAGAGCACACCTCTCTGCCCTTCCACGCGCCTGTGTGGAAAACCTAATGTGGAGAGAGCACACCCCTCTGCCCTTCCACTCGCCTGTGTACAAAGCCTAAGGCGGAGAGAGCCCACATCCCTGCCCTTCCACGCGCCTGTGTAGAAAGCCTAAGGCGGAGAGAGCACACCTCTCTGCCCTTCCACGCAACTGTGTGGAAAGCCTAAGGTGGAAAGAGCACACCTCTCTGCCCTTCCATGCGCCTACATGAAAAGCCTAAGGCAGGGAGAGCAGCAGCAAAGAACCCCAGGAACAGCATCAGCATCAGTGACAAACAGAGATGACATTGATAAGTTAGACACAGCATGAAAAGGAGGAGCTGCAGTGGAGGCGGGTTGCAAATCAGCTTGCAGAGGAATCAGCAACAGTAGGCAGTCCAGAGCAGTTTAAATAGGGCACCCTAAATGAGATTTGCCAATTGGTTGCATAGAAAGGAATCATGTGATCTATCAGCTGACTCCGTTCCATCAATCAGCTGATTGAGATCAGTTGATGAGGCTGAGCTGAACTTGACAATCGTGTCCTGTCTTAGCTAATGTTATACTCAATTTTTTGATTCTTTGTTGACCAGAGGCATGTGAGGAAAACAAAGTTTTTCAAGGTATTCCTTTACGTGTATGAGATGCAGACCAAATCATTTTCTTTCTCAGTCTTGTAGGAGGTTTATGTGAGGTGTGCGTGTGTTCAGCAGAAGAAGCCTACACTATGTATGAAACATGCAGGGAGGCACTGAAGGCCAATGCAGGCTCCATTTCCAGCAGGTAAAGAACAGGCCAAATAAACTCTGGCCATGTAATCCATTAGCTGAATCACTTTGAATTGATTAATTACAACGGTCGATCACAATAGCACTAAGTGTCTTACTGTTGCACGAGTGATTGGATTGTCACGGAGCAGATTTATCTTTGTGTTACATGGTGTCGTTTCAAGTTGACCTGTCCTGCGCGTTATGACCTTGATACGAGGAGGTGGGATGAATGGACCTGTTACTGTCTCTTCGTGTTTGTGGTGTGTTCTTTCCTCAGATGTAGTTCCCTGTTCTCTGTGGCCATTGAGTGGAAACTTCATCCACAGGAGGTGGAGTCAGAGGTCTACCGCAGCAGACTGCAGCTGTTCAGTCTGGCAGGAGGAGCCAGCAGGACTGACCTCAGAGGGTCAGTCATATTATACTCATATACAGTGAGCTATCCATTACACGGGCCAGAGGAACTAAAGCTGATACTGTGATGTTCAGCTAAGTGGTAAAGCACTACTCTGACTGTGGTTGGGCTGTTCATTCATTGGTGAATTAAAGAGTTAGAAGACAGTGGCAAACCAAGTTTTACTGAAGGAGAAAATGCTTAGTTACATCACATGACACCTTTGTTAAGTGTGCCTTTAAAAATATTTGAACTACAGCTGGCCTTTTGTTACAAGTCACAGAAGAAAAATCACCGGTGCACATTACTGATGAATGAATTCCATTTAGCTGCTTCAGTGTCAGAGTCCTGTTATTGTGCATGCTGGCTCACTGTCACGCTGTCATGACTTACTGCGACACGTGAGAACAAAGCCAACGTTAATTTATGACAAGTCAAGTGTCTGCTGTGAAAAGAAAACATTAATCAAGTCAGACAATGAGGACAGTGTCATTTGCTTCCCGTGTAAACAAACCTATGCTCAGTGAAATCTGAAATATCTGCAATGGAAATATTTTATTTCAGTCAGGCTTCATATATATTTGATTATATCTGCTACCAGTCACTTAAACAAGCCTTGCAGCTTGATGTGTGTGTGGGTGGAAGTGGGTGGTGGTGAAAAAGTAACACTTCAGGAAACAAAACAAATAACTATTGAAGTTTTGGGGAAACTTTTTGCTGACTGCCATTGAAGTTGAAGAGGCAGTGGCATTTCTAAAATTGATTGCTTTTGCACGGTGCACATATTACAGCATCTCCTATTTGTATATTGATTTTGTGTATACTACCAGAAAAAAACAACATGCTGAATAGATTAGTGGTGTAGTATGCAGTGTATAATTAGGTATTAGGATAAAGCTTTTGTTGTCCTTACTTGGATATATGTTTGTTTCAACACATATCTGACACCAGAGAAGATCTTTATACAGCATGCATGCATGGACACAGACATACCAAAAACTTAAAGTGTGCACCAACAGGAAGGCGAAACAAAGTGCATCAAGAAAGCTATATACCATGGAAGTCAGGAACATCTACAAGATCTTAATCATATCTATAGCGTAGATAGCAATATTAAGATGACATCACTTGAATGCAAGTCCATAAAAATGGGTTTTAAGAAATTATTTAAAAGGAATCACTGATTCTGCAAACTGTATCTCCTCAGGCAGGTCATTCCAAAGCCGAGGGGCCCTGATGGCAAAAGTACGGTCACCTTCAGATTTAGGGGACAGTCACACAAGAGCAAAGCAGGCAACTGACTATCATCTGCCGAGGCGATATTCGTACTAAATGTGGGCAGTGCCTGTTTGATGCACATGGAAAGCTAGCTTGCCCGCTAGTGCTAGCTTGCCACTGCAAAGTATGATATCTTTGGTACATTTTCCTTTATCTTAACGCTCTATGCCTGTCTCCCGACTCACTGCCAGCCAGTTGGGGGACATTTTGTATTTTTCATGGCCAGTATTGCATAATATCGGCTGGTTAAACACAGCAATAATCAATGTCTCGTCCAGGCATACTTTTTTTTGCTATTGGTTGAGCTTGCAACTTCACCAGTCATAGTTGAACACCATTCAATATAAAGCTGCTAGTTGGCTTTACCCCTTTGCTCACATGGCCTAGCGGTAGAGTGCGTGCCCTGAGACTGGGAAGTCGTGGGTTTGATCCCCGGCCGGGTCATACCAAAGACTATAAAAATAGGACCCATCGCCTCCCTGCTTGGCACTCAGCATCAGGGGTTGGAATTGGGGGGTTACATCACCACATGATTCCCAAGCGTGGCACCGCTGCTGCACACTGCTCCCTCAGGGGATGGGTCAAATGCAGAGAACAAATTTCACACACTCAGGTGTGTGACAATCAGTGGGACTTTAACTTTAACATTAGTCAACAGTTTTGCTATATAGCTTGGAACCAGACCCGGACGTGCATTAAAATTGATCATTAAAATCTTAAAAATCAATTCTAAATCAAATAGGGAGCTAGTGGAGAGAAACCAGAATTGGGGTGATGGGATGTTGTCTGTTGGAGCCAGGGAGAAGTCTAGCTGCTGCAGTCTGAGCTAGTTGAAGGCGAGAGAGTGACTTTTGGTTGATGCCAGTGAAAAGGTTGGTACAGTGTTCAAGTCTAGAGAGAATAAGTAAAAAATAAGTGCACTGTCATAGTTTGACATCAGAGTCCTTCACATTTGGCATGCTTAAGGAGGCTCTGGGTATCTGTTTAACATTCAACATTTTTTTCAAACTTTATTAGATTTCAAGAAACATAAACGGCGCATAACTATCTTACTATATAATGACGAAAACTCTCTGTCTGTCTGTGTGTCTGTTCCACGTTTTTTTCTCACTGACTTGGTCAATCCATGTGAAATTTGGCACAGTGGTAGAGGGTCATGGGAGGATGTGAAAGAAGCAATATTACATCAACTGGCCAAAGGGGGGCGCTATAGCAACCGATTGAAATCGCAAACTTTGAATGGGCATATCTCATGCCCCGTATGTCGTAGAGACATGAAACTTTGCACAGAGATGCCTCTCCCCATGAAGAACAAATTTGCCTCCAGAACCCATAACTTCCAGTTATATAGATTTTCCGCCATTTTGAATTTTTTGAAAAACACTTAAAATCGATCTCTTCCTAGGAAGTTTGACCGATCTGCATGAAACTCGGTGAACATAATCTAGGGACCAATATCTAAAGTTCCCTCTTGGCAAAAGTTGGAAGACTTACTAAAACTGAGCTTCTATAAGGCAATGAATATTGTGGAGGGTGTGGCTCATCACATAAAGGTGTATAACATCTCAAGGGTTTCACCGATCACCACGCAACTTTGTAGGCATATGACCACACATAATCTGAGGGGACCCCTCCATTATTGACCCCATCAAACAAAATGGGGGCACTAGAGAGCTAATTTCTTATCTAGGCCTAACCGCCGTATCGATTTTTACTAAACTTGGTAGATATGTAGAACAGAATGCCTCAAGGTGACTGGAGAAATTTAACTCTAATTGACAACTGGGTGGCGCTATAACAACAGAAAAATGCTTAAAAATGGCTACAATGTGACTGATCGACTGATAAAATTATTATTATTATTATTATTATTATTATAATGCACAAATCATACATCCCTTTATGACTAATACATTTTTACCACAAATCCTCTCCAGAGTCAGCCCACTGGTGAAGGTTATGGACCAAACTCAATCCGAAGCTACAACAAATGAAAACATCTTCCCATGCCTTCTCAATGATGCCTTAACAGGGAACAGCAGGACAGTCCTCATCTACTGTGTCCACCCTCAAGGTGAGTGTTCCTCTGGGCCCAGTCACCTCAACTCACCTGTAATCCTTTGAACATAGAAGTTACTCTTTATCCATCAGGTCTCCTAGATGATGAGACCCCCTCCGCTTTAGCTTTGGCCCAGAAAGCAAGACGTTTGGTGACTAATGCCAGTGTTGATCGCTGGTGTCCAAGGGCAACTGAGCAAAAGATCAGAGATGACATCGTGGAGCTAAGGAGTGCGATGATGTCACAGGGGGAAAGTGAGGTTCACACCACCTTTAGGTTAGCAGAGCTGACCCAAAACCTGCAGGTAATTCATTAAATAAGTCTAAACAGTTCTTTCTCACCGTCTCCTGTGGGGACTATTAGAGTTCATAGCTGAAATGCCTTCTGTGATCTCTCTAACAGATTGTGAAAAATCAGTCATGGGAGAAGAGGAGGGAAGAGTCAAAGAAGATAAAAGACAAAACGCAGGTTCCTATCGAAATTGTTCACATTTCCATACAGGTTTAAAACAATGATAACAAATTATGTGTTCCAAACATAATGAAATGAGGAGCATGTGTTGGATTGATTTGGCAGAGCTGTCGGACCCCAAATAGCAATTTGCACAGCAGTGATCACAGAGAGGGGACAGACACAATGAAATATTTACAAGCCCAGCTGAAACAAGAAATGGAGGAGCATATCAGAGGTAATCTGCTGTGATATGAAATGTGTTTATATATAGGGACATCGATGATATTGTGTTTGTTTGTCATATTCACAGAAGGTAAAGGGAATGTAGAGAAAGTCCAGGACAGATTAGGAAGAATTCAGCAGCTGAGGGAGGCTCTCAGAGAGGAGACACTGAAGAACGGGGCTGCTACGGATAAATCTGACCTCTGTCAACAAGTAATGCACTCTATCTATTAAATATGATATTGTACGCCACTACATCAGATTGGATAACATGTTTACAGGCTTTGTGAATACTCCATTAAACACATAAACAAGATTTATGCGTGCGAGAGCGGACAACCCACACTAAGAAATTTATTTTGCCAATTTAAGTCTCAGTTAGAATACAACAAAGCCCAGGAACGGAGGAGGCAACTTAAGGAGGACCACGGGAGATTAATTCAGGAGGAGGTGGAGAAGATGGAGAGAGACTTGGCACAGGAACAGCTACTGGTGAGATAATGAGATACACTGTTGTTTAACATTATTCAGTTTGTGATCTATCTTAGCTGAGCATGCTGAGTCAGTTTAAATTAATGCAAGGCTGGATTTATGGTGGGCAGTGGAAACCCCTGCATTTGCAACTTAATTCTGTTATTCCCTTGCATTTTTTATGGTTTCATCCATTCCTCGGCTAGACAGAAGGCCCCCCGAGAGAGCTGCTGGTGCTGACCAGAGAGAGGCAGGTCCTGGTGCTGCAGATAGAGGCCCTGCGCGCTGAGGCCCAGCAGGCTGAGAGAGACCTGCAGAATCAATATCACAGACACCAAACAGAGCTGCACTGTCTGAGAGAGGAGAGCCTGCAGGTGGGAGTTTGTTGTATCAGTGAGAAAACACTGACTCAAATAATGTCACGTTTTCATTTAATTAGTTTATTACTAGTGTCTTCTTACCAGTAGATGAATATGTGGTTCTATATTCAGGAACTAATGTACCTGTGCCTTTTCAAACATCCAGTAAAACTGCTCAGAGAACAGTTTTGGCCTCAAGTATGATGAAATTCTAAGAATCATTGATAGATTACTGAACAGGCCTACTGGGTATAACGTGTCAGGTGTCCTCAGGTTCTCATCAGCTAATGTCACTCAAAGAGACATGCACCACAAAGGAAGAGTATCAAAATGACCACAAAGAAACATAAAAGGACTACAAAGTGATTCATCTGCAAAGAAACCCAAAGTGATGACACAATGACTACGAAAAGTGGCAAAACAACCACAAAGAGACACAAATGACAGCAAAGATGCACAACGCAATGAATAAGAGGCACAAAGGAGCTACAAAAAGATTTCAAAGAGATTAAATATCAGTAAAAGAGACAGAAAACAACTACAAAGAGACTTAAATGTCTGCAAAGAGTCACAAACCAACTGCTAAGAGACATAAAAAACCACATAGAGATGCATAAGGATTACAACGAGATGCAGAACAACAACAAAATAAGGCTGAACAACTATGAAGTCTGTGCGTCTTGCTCTTATGTAGGAGAGTTTGTGGGGCCTTCTGCATGTCTGTACCCAGGGGCCATTGTCTCATAATCCACCTGTGCTACGAACAATGTCATTTTGCACATATTATTAGAGTAAAGTAGCTCCCAAATTATTTTAGAGAGATCCAAAGGTCTCCTAAGTCAGTAAAGAGTGGAAGCAGCAGCCACACACCTTCCACGTCTTGGAGATATGATAAAAGATGCACAGTTTGTCCCAGTACCTATAATTCTACATTCTTCTAATGGAAATGTTTAACTTTTCATTCGACCCCTATGTTTACTGGAAAAACCAGATCATTAAACATGCATTTGCCTTACATACAAATGTTTCATCGGGCATCCAGATGGTTCTCACTTAACATGGTTACTATATCCCTTTATCATTTAAGATGTATATGGATAATATCCCATACAGTATATATTGCATCGGGGAAACACACTCAATAAGCTTTCCTCTTGTATGTGTCAGTATATTAATTCATTTGTAATCTTGAATACAGTTAATGACAGGTGTTGATTATGATGATTGATATTATATAGCACTGACACATTAGCCCTGGAGGCCTGCTATCGGCCGATTCACCCTTTGAAACCTGGGCAAATTGTCTCAGTTTCTTTCAAAAATATGGGGAAAAGGCCATGAACAGCGAAAGAAGAAATGACCCCAAAAAATAGGCAAGAAATTTGTGAAAAGAGAAAATTGAAAACAAGAACATTATGGAAAAGAAAGTTAAAAACAAACAAGGAAATGACCTGGAAAAAGAGCTTAAAAATTCAAATAATTCTGTAACATAATTTTAAATATAAAACAATGTTAATTAGAAATATAGTTGTTCCCTAGCTTTTTAAAAATTATTTTCTAAATCTATTAATTTTTTGCAATTTGTGGAATATTTCTTACCAAATTGCTCATTGCTGTTTTTCCCCATGTTTTTGAAAGAAACTGCACAACTTTGCTCTGGGTTAAAAGGCTTACATACTGAGGCATCTAAAAGCAGCATAAGAAAAGTGATGTCACTCCAGGTTTCAAAGGGTTAAAGGAGAGCATTTCAGGTAAACATGATTGTAGTCCACATTTTACAGCACTTAAGGTTTCAGAGCAAGTTTTTCCCCCAAAATTAAAACTAAAAATGGGACACCAATCAATGCATTATAGTTATAAAAACAGCAGGGTTTGGGATATGGATACAGATTCTACACAGAAAAGGAATTTATTTATTTATTTTTTTTAGATGTACGTACAAAAAATACAAAAGAAAAACTCAAAAATGCTTTATAAATGTTTACATGAAGAAGCATTTTACCTCCTGTCTTTCTTGCATCACCCTTGTTTTTCTGTGTTATCTGTTTTCCCACTCTCCAGGTGTTCAGAGTGTTTCGTCAGGTAAGCGAGGAGCAGAGGAGGATGTCAGAGGGCAGATACCGCAGCGTGCTGCTGGAGGCTGTGCAGGATGCCGTATACCTGTCTGCCCAGAACCAGGAGCTGCAGGCTGACAACAAACACCTCCGTAAGGGTCAGTGTATGTTTCTCAACCTCTACCAGACTGGCTGTTATATTAAAGATAAAGCTTTCCCTAACCTCTAAAGTAAAACGTGGCAGAGATGCCAAGTCATGATTCTTCCACCCACCAGCATTTAAAAACTTGTTTTTCTTTTACAGCGCTGGGGGAGTTGAAGGATACTCTGGCTGTGCGAGGTGACTCTACGACTTAACTCTCATCCTGACAACAATAAATGTATGACTGGAAGATGTTTATGAATCAGTGTGTGTGTAATGTGATTCATGAGAAATAAAACTGTTTTTCGCAATTTATTGGTTATCATTAACACGCTTCATAACACTTTGATATAATCTTTGACATTGTTCTTGGCAGAGAATGAAACAAAATGACAATAGCAGCACTCTTCAGAAATGTTAGACTGAAGATATTATAATTCTGACTTGCATTATTATATGAATTTACTCACATCATTGTAACAGAATTATGAATAAAATTGTAAAATGTGGTGTAAATTGTCAGAGTCAGCTGACGTAACTATTCACAGATAATATGGTATGTGGTTACATATCAGAACATGTGCTGGATCCTGTATTTCAAAAGGCAGAGATATAAGGCAGAAAACAAATCACATCTGAAACTCAAAAACTATGGAAACAGAAATACAAGTAGACCGCAGTGAGTTGAGTGGGCCTTGTGGTTCAGTTATTTACTATCTGTAATAAAGGTAAGCTGCCAGTCCAATCATAGAAATGGGTAGGAGGAAAACAGGTGTGAGCTGCAGCCCTAAGATGCCCCAAGACAACAGAGCATTAACCAGCATGGAGCAGGAAATGACAAACAGTCTGGTGATCCCGCTGCCGTGCTTGAGCACCACAGACATCAAGAGTCCATTAGCTGCCTGCCCTGCTATAATGGCCCAGACCACCCCTGAGTATCCTTCCAGAAAGCTCTTTTCACCTGCTGCAAAGGAGAAGCAGGATAGCCCGTTGATGGCCACACCAAACACATAGAGGTAGAGATTCTGTAAGCTGAGGGGCAGCCTCTGGCTCTTCAGCACCATCTCTGTGTAAACTGCTGCTAGCCCTGAAACACAGCAGTACACCAGCACAAGGAAAAGCCCCCAAGTTGTGATGTGAAGCCTGAGACCTTCCTCAGCTTCAGTCCTCTCAACGTCCCCTGGGCCCAGGCTGCTGTAGCTGTGGCACACGCCTGCACCCATGAGGAGCCCCACAGCTAACCACTGAGAAGGCCGGAGCCTCTTGCCCAGGCAAAAGGAGTACAGCAGGGCAGTGGAGGCAATTTTCAGGTTAGAGAGAACTTGGTATGAGCTTGGGTCCATGTAGGCCTGCATGAGTACTACCAGGTGGTTGTTGAGGGCATAGAGTATGGCAGGGACTGCATAGGGGGCCACGCGGGCTAGAGGTGGAGGAGCATGTAGGGCAGATGTACCCCCAGTTAGAACAAGAGTTGCCAGAGAAATCACCAGTTTGGATAACTCAATCATGACAACACATGATGAGGGGTTGAAAGGAACTTGACCATCGACTTTGGTGAGAGTGATGAGCGGTGCATGGGAGCCATAGATAAGGACCATCAGCCCGAAGAGGACACCCCAAAGAATCCTTTTCACCCACTGTCTCCTAATCCTTGCTGGGGATCTTGGCCCCACATTCTGGATCACAATCATCCTCAACAATACAAAACAAACACTTAATTTCTAACTAATTTGAACTACTAGCTTTAGTGCAAAACAACCCTCACCTTTTGGCTATTTTTTAATAAATAGCTATGAATCTCAAGAATTAAAATACCTTTTATAAAATACTCTGAAACACTATTCTCTGTGTAACTCTGTATATGTACTTTGAATGGAACAATAAGGGGGTAGGACATTTGCAGGAAATACTGCCTGTTTTAAACATGACTAATTCAAAATCTAACATGCTAAGATAAGTGCTCCTGGCAGCAAACAAGGTATGAAATCTGATGGACCAAACATTAACAATGAAAGCATTAAGTCTTCCATTTTGTGTCACCATCAAACAGACAAGTGAAAATGAAACAGCAGTATTTAACTGAACCCAAAAGAAAAATGCAAACAAAAACACCAGTCATTGAGTCCCCAGTGAAAGTCCAGTTACATCAAAATCCTGAAGGCTGATCCGTTACCAGCCACTGACAAGCCAGCAGCGGCAACAATATTTCTCTCTTTTGGTTGTTAAGTCACCGCCGAGACCAGCAGTCGGCCCAGATTATTTTGGTCCTTTTTTCATGCTGTTCATATAGTCTTTCACAGTCCTTTCAATGTTGGGCACTTGATAGTTCTGTGCCACATACATGCCAGTGATTGTTCCCAGCAGCACTCCCAGGATGGCAGAGGAGCGTAGCTTGGCCACCACATAGCCGGCCAGAAAGCCCTTCAGAAATGGAGATCCCAACACTGAGCCTCCCTGAAGGATCAAGACAAAACAGCAGAATTTTCAGCATGGTCCCAGTGCAGAAAAAGGACACAGAGATGGGTAAAAAAAATTAACACATTTACACTGCAAGAAGGGAAAAATATTTAGCAAAAATAAAATCACATTGTTAACAAAATAAACATAAAAAAATCACAAGAGGATATTTAAGGAAGACAAAACTAAACAAATTAACTCAATCACCATCATTCATGGGCAGTGGTGTGATGTAACGAAACAATAGCACTTTGTTATTATAGTTTTAATATATTTATGTCAACTTTCACTTTTGCTCCACTGCAATTCCTAAATAGAATTTATACTTTTACTCCAATATATGTCCACTAAGCATAGTAGGGAAGAATGGGAGGAAAACAGAAGGGGGAGGGGATGGGTGGATGAATGCAGGAATTGGGGTGCACATGTTACGAAGAAATAAACCTTAGAATTCTCAAAATTATGACCGCTTGCTTTTTTATTCACAACATTTACTAGGTGACTTAAACTATTGCCAAAGTCATTTTCTGATAAGATATCTAGACTTTTACTTAAGTATAGCTTTCAGGGACTTTATCCACCACTGGTCATAAGAAATGCCTTCTGATTTTAGTCATACAAAAGGTGAATGAAGGACATTGCCATTAGACTTACATTCACCATCTAAATTACTATACGATATACTTTATTGTCCCCATAGGGAAATTTGTTTTGGACTCATATGCTGCGCACAATATGCCTTCACCGTGTGATTAAACAAACTACATAATAGTTAGTTAGTTGTACAGTAAGGTTTCCAAACCACGCTGACATGCCATATCTGATCACACTTTCTAATAAAGCCTGAAAGAATAAAATCATAACCCTCTGGTCCACGCCATACACTCTGAGTTTGTTTTTTTAAATTATATCTGAAACAACCCATGGTTGTTAGAGGAGGAGGAGAAAGCTGAAACAACTTGAACTTTTTTCCACTCGTGTGGTCAGTGTTATCAGGGGCACCTTTAAAAACTCACCTGAGGAAGTCCTACAGAAATTTCGTTCTCTACTCGCCTCTGGATTTCCTCCAACTGGTTTTTGAGCTTTGTCAGATCTTTCAACTGTTTCAGAGGATCCTAAAATAAAAGCAAAGCATCACATTTTAATATTAGGAAACAATACAACTACGAATTCCAGCATTAATGTAAGCTAACGCTGCTGTATGATATAACATGAAGTTACATTTACTGACAGAATACCCCACGAAAAGGCTTTGGTAACAAAACAGCTCATTGCTCCAAGTTTGCTGGTTAGCTAACAGCCACATAACTTAACCGGCTCAAGATGGATACGTTCATTTAGAGCCATCATCTCCCCGGCAACTTTATTTAACAGCCAACTGCTTCTGAGACGAACTCCTCTAAAAGTTGCTGTCATCTGACGAAAAAGGTGAAATTAATACGTTTAAAGCCAGAGCACCGTTACTCGCTCACCTTGTCATCCGCCATCTTTGCTCAGTGGAGTTATCAGTGTTCGACTCATAGGCCTGCGACACTATTTTCCACCTTCAGATCGATTACTTTGGTCTGGATTACAGTTTTGTGAAATATGAATTATGCAGCACCACTTTTGAGAATTTGACAACGCTTTCGGAGACATACAACCTCCGACGTGTTTGTTTTACCACTAATAAGCTATTACTTTGTTTAATTTAACAGTATTTTTCCTTACGGACCCGACGCACGCGTTATCTTCACGTGTCTAAAACGTCTTCCGTGATTGGTCCGAACTTGTTTATTCTTGCATCTGATTGGTTGAAGACCATAGCAACAAACCGCCATGTTTTTTTACAAGTCGACGAGAAACGAAGCTACTTAACCGACATTTATGCATCGTAAATCTTTGATTTAGTATGAGACATTTGCGAATTTCAGTGTTACCGTCGGCACAATACCTGACTTTGTCGGCGACTCCTAAAGGTTGTTTCAGAGCAGTTTGTAGAGCCTCGGGTCATCGTAGGTAAGGCGTCAATAAGAAGGCTTTTCATTGGATAACTCACTGACTGTGCAGGCAGTATAAGCACACGCCATTAAACCTACTTTTAAAGCAGGGAAGGACCAGTGCTTTTAACATGTTAGCGCTTTATTAGTCTCCTCAAGATCCCTGTGCATGACAAGTTTCCATGTAATTAGACTAGGACACTGTAGAGCTATATTCTGTCTGCATGAAGCACCAGCCCTTAGTCACTGTCCTATTTTCTGTGGCTTTTATTAGACAGCGTATCTTTATTTGCCTCACATTAGATGAGTTATAGCTACCCACTGAGCTATAATAAACTACAGAAATCCAGTGCTGTCATCAAAATACAGAGGAGTGAAGATGCACAATCATGAGTCTTGAAACTGTATCATCTTAAAATTAAGGTGTTAAGTACTGTTCAAAGCAATGTATATTTAATAAACCCAACTTTGGCTGAATCTAATGCAGCCTGATTCAACATATCTGCAATAAACTCTACCTTCATGAAGATTCACTCATAAGCAACCAACTAATCTTATGCTTTTTTTCAAGTTGGCCCTAGACCTTTGGAGATCATGGATAAAGTGGAGGTGATTGAGGTTGTGAAATTGACTGAGGATTCAGAGAGCTGCCACAGTCAAATGGAGGTGACCACCCCAAAGAAGAGAAAGAGCAAAGCTCAAGAAGAAAGTGTTGAGAAACCTAAGAAGCCTAGGTAATGTACATAACCCCAGATTACTTTAACACACAGCTGTTACAGTGTCATGACACTAGCTATGGCCCTGTGTTCACCAGGGATTGGGCCTTTAATATCAAAGATGTCTCTCCCATTGTCATGTACTGGTGATTATAGACATGGAATCTTTATGTTTTAGGTCTGCCTACCTGCTATACTACTTTGATGTTCATCAGATTATGCAACAGGAAATCCCTAATCTGCCACAGTCAGAGATCAACAAGAGAATCAGCGAGAGCTGGAGAAGGCTCAGTGTAGCTGAGAAAGGCTACTATCTGGAGAAGGCCAAGTCCGAGAAGGATGGCGCAGACACAGTAAGCTTCAACCTTAAGTTTTTATACGAGCAAACCAGTGATCTGAGCAACTTTTAGTTCACCAATAAAATTCCCTCATGTAAAAAACATCAGAATAAACTGGCCTGTGCAGAATACTTATGTAGATATCGTTCCATGTTCAAAATGTCTATACTGCTTTTTTGTTATTTAATGTTTACTTGTTACTAGGAGAATCTAAATCATGGTGCCTAGTAAAATTCAAAACTGGCATAAATAACTACGAGCAATTGATCACCTAAATTATTGAAATGTGCAAAACAAGTTGCAGAAACGTTTCTGATAAACTGACCATACTATGCAGGGTTCAATTTTAATGTTTGTTTTTCACTTGCTCAGTTTGGCAAGTTGGTCAGACATCTACTCACCCGAAGATTTCACCAGATTTTACTTTTACATAGATGCTAAGCAACAAACATTCTTGCCTTTATGAAATGGTCTGGACTTGTTAACTTGTGAGTGAGTGAGTGAGTGAGTGAGTGAGTTTTACTATGTGTGATATGCAGTCTATTGTGTGAGCTCATGAACTTTGTCTTTTGAGGGCCCAATCGGTGCTGTGCATGTGCAACTCTCAACAGATGAGAAGGAAGCGGGATAGCTCACTTCTTACCTATTTCCATCATCAGCTTCAGAAAAAACAATATGTTTAATTCTTTTTTACCACTTGTCCAATCAGGAAAGTGAGTTGTTAGTTGTTACTAGCCTGACATGGCATTTTACTTGCCCCATGCTATCAGGCTTTTCTTATTGTTGAGCTCTGCTTACTATAATAAACAAGTCAGAAATCACACAACTTTTCCTGTTTAATAAGTTCTGATACCTGTTTTGTCAGTACAACATGCAGCAGTAAGTTTATGATAGTGCCAATGATAGTGGTTTGCCTTTTTGGCTGTTGAGTATGTCCAGTGCCTTCTTTATGACCATGCACTGCAGAGCACCCATGTAGTCAACTGGATTGATTTCATTTGTAATGAGTACATTTATCTCGTGTATTTTACCACAGATAAACTCAGAACAAAGTGACCTATTAGCATCAAGTATCACAGCAGAGATACAGCAGTTTTTTCCTGCTTTGTCTCGACAGTGGCCTAATCCACTGGTGTCTAGTAGAATGTCAGAGTGATTCTGTGAATAGCCATGAACAATATTCTTGATTTTGCTTTTCCCTCAGTCGTGTCTCAGCCCCTCCAAGGACCTACCAGGCTTCCGCAAAATCCTCCCGAGAGCCAGTTACATTTTGCTGTCTAAAGGCTGCCCCTCAAATCAGCAGCTGGGAGGCTCTCAGCCAGAGGTGAGCGTTGAGTCTCTGGACTCTCCAGTGGAGGGAGGTCTGCCTTCCACCTCTCTCACCCAAGAGCCCCAGTTCACAGCTCTTGGCTTGGTCGGCGAGGTGGAGCTTTCTGAGCAGCCAATTGTTGTGGATGACATAGCAGAAGAAACGGAAGTGGCGTCCAATCCCACGACCCCCCGAGGAATCCCACCCTCCTCTTCCTCCTCTGTTTTATGCAAAGCCTCGGCCTCCACAGACACCCATGTCCCACAGGGCTCTGCTGGCCCCACAGCAAATGGCGTGACACTTAAAGGAAATGAGACCAGAGTTGCTGGTAGTGGTTATGGTGGAGCAATGGTGCAGCAGATACAGGGGGAAACTGCCCAGGTGGTTGCCATCATACCCACCCAGGTGAGACTTAAATGCCCCTCCACCAGTTAGCAGATAATTTATTCAAAAATGATCAGGGTTTGACCATTTTAATCACAAAAAAAGTGTTTCAGCTAATGCAGTGAAGTAATTTGTCCTTTACTTCAGAACCTGCTGGAGCCAAAGTCTCTGCCAGGCGTCAGCTCTGTGGGCCCAGTGATGATGGTCTCTGTCGGAGCCAGCATTGAACAAAGTGCCAAACCTTCCTATAAAATGGTAAGCACCCACATTATTCAGCCACCTTATAAATGTCAGTACTGAAATTGGCAGGCACACAAAAAACGAAAAATAGGAATATCATTATTAAGATTTAAAATGATTTGGGGATGGTAGCAGCAGCTGAGAGATGTGAACTTTCATGTTTATATCTTTTTCTGCAGTCTGTGAAGACGTACACCCGCAGAGGTCGAGGGAGGTGTCTAAATCCTGGGTGTTCATTTGTGTATGTCACCCGCCACAAGCCACCGACGTGCCCTGAATGTGGGAGCCACTTGGGTGGAAAATGGATACCTGCCGTAAGTGTCGATCAAACAGTTCGGCTTGTTCGATCTGATATACAAACATCCAGGAGTTGTACAAATATTCAGCCTCCAGGTTTGACCTGCAGCTCAAGTCAGTTAACTTTGACTGCACTTCTATAACAGGCAAAGAAGATGCAAGAGAGAGACGCTGTGCCCAAGCAATTGCCGCAGAAATCTGAAACCAAGATTAAAGAAAGCTGTAAACCCATCTCTACCCCTGCTCAGCAGGGGAATGCTGATGTCAGTAAAAGAAATGCCACTGGGAGCAAAAAAGAAGTTCAGAAGTGCTCCAGAAAGCAGCATGCAGTTTCAGGTGGAAAGCCACTAGAGGGCAGCAGCGTCAAGGAACAGGAACAAACAAAGTGAGCACTTATGAAATAAATTTTATTTATTTATTTATTTATTTAAGTGTGTTCTTTTTGCTAAAATGAACCCCAGTGGACAGTTGTGTGAAAACTGTGCTGTACACTATTTGCAAATTGGTGCTTTAATGCTTAGGTGGGGAAGGTATAGATATGTATATATGCATAAGTTTGAATTGCTATTTCTGTGAGAAATATTTATACCAGGGTGTCTGCAGGTCCAATCCCACGACCTAGGCCTTGAAAGTCATTACATACTGTATTTTCAAATTTTAATTTGTGAGGTCTTCATTGCCATAAACATTTTATCCATCCTTTAATTGCTTTTTGTCAAAATAAGTCAAGCTCCTGCATAAAAACCTAGCTCTGCACAGGACTGTACACATACTACCTACCTTTATACTGACCTGCAATGCTTGAATAAAAAAAATAACATTTTTCCACAAAAAGCCTTAAATTTGGTTAAAAATGACCTCAAAAGGGTATTAAAAAGCATTAAATTTAAGTGTCTGATACCTGTAGACACCATGTATTTTTTTTGTTTATTTGAAATGCTGAAGTGTTTAAAGGTGTTTAAACCATTCATCAGAAAATCTTTATGGAACAGGATTGTAATGACACCTCTGTGTTTTGTTATTGCAGCCATTTTCATAGCAAGTATTCCTAACCGTGTGTATCTCACTTGATGTACTTGCCATCTGTCTGAGCAGACAGATGAAGGACAGTCTTCAGTGTGCGACACTCCAGGGTCAACACAGAAGCAACGCCACTGTTCAAAAGAGGCCTGTGAGACCTATCCTTCCTGCCTATTACAGCACAGGTGAGATAAAACATGCAGCACTCAGGCACTATTCTGTTGTCAGTGTTAAATTACCATGTGTTACCGTGTGGATTTGGCTTGTGTGTGCATTTTTAGGCCGTGCTTTGTTCCAGATCATAACAGTCCCACCGGACAAAGGAAAGTTCCAGAGTGCAAACAACAATAAATCATCCACCGGTACTGTGCAGCGTTTGATTTCATTTGTATTATACTTCATTAAATGTGATCTTTCAGTCTGTAGTGTGGATACAGTTTTATTTAATGTTTATTCAGTGCTTGTTATTGGCATATTTAGACTACCTGCATCATATAGAGAGGAAATGATTATAGTGTTATATGTGTGACTGCACTTTCTGAGGTCTCTGCTCTTAGTTGATGTGGTCGTTGTCTAATCATAGTGCCTCGAGAGAGTCTCTCAGGTCTCAAACCCAGCACTTTAAAGCAGCTTGGCCAGACGGTCCCGACAACCGCAGCCAAGCAGGTGACCACAAACATCAAACACTTTGAAACACACACACACAGAGCAGATTTGGACAGGTATTCTGACTTTTTGTATGTCTTTCTGTAGGATTCTTCTGTCCCAGCAGATGGCAGCCAGGCTGTGTCTTCACTGGTTGATAGGAGAGTGAATATCGTGTCAGTCGTGCCTTTTAAACAACATGCCGTTTCCAGCTTTGTCAGTACACTAATATTCTCTGTGCAAATTAGCCTATTTTTAATTAGCTTACACCAAATGTTCCTTTCTAATTAAATTTGTCCCTGTTTTTTTCTTTTTCTTGTTCTTTTAGGATTTGGGTCTGTCAACAGCACGAGGAAGGGGTCGGTGTAAGAACCCGTCCTGTGACTACATGTATAAGAACAGACACAAACCTGCAGTGTGCCCTAAATGCGGCTGTGAGCTGACCCAGAAGAACACCAAGGGAACAAAGGTAAAGGCTTACTTCCTACAGATTCTCCTCTGGTGTAGGGTTAGTTTCCAGCTGCAGCTCGTACCCGTGGATCCCTGAGCAGAGCATTTGCTTCTTAGCATCCATAAATCTCGACTTCAGGCTGAGGACAACTGGCCTTTGATGTCAGGTCATTAATCTTGGAAGCTTTCTCTCCGTGACTTTCAACGAAGCAGAACTGATGTCATCTTTTACATCTTCAACATCCTCTTTGTGTAAAATTGTCTGTATATTTTGTTTGTTTTTACTCACTTTAGATGTTTTTTTGCTGAAACTCATGAGCAAGCCTATCTATACAGATCTTTTCCCCTCCTCATCTTAATTCTTTGCAGTAGTATCACATCTCTTTCACTTTAGTTTTTATAAACCTCTCATCTCAAAATTTTCTTACATCTTTTAATGTGGATTTCTCTTTTCCTTTCTCAGTCTGAGACTCTGCTCGATCCGTACCAGGCCCTGAGTCCTGCTCAGAAGGACATTCAGCGCCAGAGCACCCTGCAGCTGCTGCACCGTTCCCTGCAGATTCCTGAGAGCGAGACTGAGCTACAGGAAACGTTGACGCTCATCCAGGAGCTCAACAGTCTGCAGATCGTCTTGGTTCGACCAGGTGATCAGGAGCATGAGAACAGTGTAGAGGCGGAGACGCTGATAGAGTCTGGGTGGCCTCAGTTCTATGAATCAGCAGCTACTCACTGTGGCCTGTGTAACTACCCTCTCTTCAAAGGAGATCAGAGGTGAGAAGATGTGTATTCCAGCTATCCTGCTACATCAGTACCGGCATGTTGTGTTTCCTAATGTATCCCCCTGTGTGTGTGTGTGTGTGTGTGTGTGTGTGTGTGTGTGTGTGTGTCCTAGTACCGTTGCAGGACAAGTGGACTGCTGGCTGCTCACTGAGACACTGATCCAGACAGCCACTCTTCAGCTCAAGGTGTGTCTCAACGTTCAGTGTCTGGCTCTGCACAGCTTCACTGACCTGCATCCAGGTAAACAGCACCACTCACAACTTTTACATTCAGGTCATGAAATTGCTGGAAAAGTTATGAAATTAGAAAAACTGCTTTGGAAAAATATAAAAAAAAATATACATTGTCTCTGCAGTTGTTTGAAATATGTTCCTAAAAATCCCAAAAAGTCTCTCATATTGTGCCAAATTGGTTCCCTATGTTACTAATTTAAAATCAAGTGCTGCGCTGCATGACCGTTGAAACGTCATTAGTATCACATGATACACATTTTTGTATGTAGCTAGTTGATGAGATGAATGTCTAACGAGCAGGTAAAGTGAGCAAGAGCAGCAGTTTTCTTATCTGCAAATGCCTTCTAAGTGCGTGTTTAATAATGTATGGCTTTCAAACAAGAAATATAATACACTGCTCAAGAGAGAGGCTCTAGCAGCGCTGATGAAGGCTCTGCACCGTAATGTTTTAAGTTGGTAACATTGAAGAAGGGGCTCTAGTTAGCCATACTAAAGGGGAAAAGCATCAAGACAGCCAAAGGCCGCTCAGCAGACAGTCAACTTCGGCACATATTTCACACCTGCTGCAGCCAGGCCAGATAACATCACCACTTTGTGTCCACTGTATGTGTAGACACAAAGACATTTCATTCCAACTTCATTTTCCGTAACCACTTATCCTGTTAGGGGTTGCAGTAGGTCTGGAGTCTATCCCAGCTGACATTGGGTGAGAGGCGAGGTACACACTGGACAGGTCGCCAGATTATCACAGGGCTGACACACAGAGACAGACAACCATTTACATTCACACCTACGGGCAATTTAGAGTCACCAATTAACCTACATGTCTTTGGACTGTGGGAGGAAGCCGGAGTACCCAGAGAAAACCCACGCTGACACAGGGAGAACATGCAAACTCCATCCACAAGGACTGCGGCACCCTGGGTTCAAACAAGGAACCCTCTTGCTGTGAAGCGACAATGCTAACCACTGCACCACCATGCGAAATGCATGTATGTTAAATTAGCAAAGGGACCAGGTTGTATCCTCGATACAATATCTAACTTTTTCTAATTTGAGGATCCTCATCTCTCTGATCCGTTGTATAAAGGCAGGACACTAAGGCCTGCCAAGAGAGTGGCATATGCTGTGGTATCTGACTCTGTATTTTTTCAAAATACTGCAACCACAACATCTTAAATTAAGGGTGTACAGCTGAGAATTATGGGTACCACTTCTGTTTCATAATATTCAAAAATATACTTATTGTTCCAAGATGGAACAATTATTATTATCGTCATTTATCTCCAGCGTTTTAACAGAAACTCCTCTGTTGCTTGGTAAAAGAAACAGTCAGTAAATATTAGCTACAGCTTTTGATCCTGTTGGCAGAAAACCGCAGCTCGACAACTGTGTTTTGGTCCTGTATTTATGGTAACCACACTGCTCAGCCACAGTGTCTCAAGTGCTTATAAAACAGCTTGTGATTTTTTAAACAAAATTTTTATTCATACCTAAATACATTTGAGTTTTACACAGCTGCTTTGTTTGGAAATTTTGAGGAGGAAAAAACAAAAAAGAGGAAGAAGTGGCTTGCCTGTGTCACCCTTGGGCTTCCGGTTGTGTTGCTGGGAGGCTTAGGATCAGTAAACACAAACACATGTCACTGCTTCTCATGCAAACATCCCAACATGCACACACACTACACTGTGTAATCTAATCTAATCTCTACTTACAAACTCTTATCGTATCTTCTCATCCATCACCATAAATGCTTTATGTTATTGTAAATGGTAAATGGACTGCACTTGCGTAGCGCCTTTCTATTCTTTCAACCACTCACAGTGCTTTTACACTACATGTCACATTCACCCAATCACGCACTGGTGTGTCGCGGCTGCCGTACAAAGTGCCACCTGCTACTCAGTTTAACATTCATACACAGTTGTCTACCAAGGATACTTTTACATGTGGACTAGAGGCCGATATTCTGATATTCCTCTCTACCATACCACAGCCTCACCTTTGTCTGTATGGCCTTCCATTATGTCTGTCTTAATTACCAAATTCACAATGAAATCAGTACAGCACCTAATTACATGGATACTCTGAATTAAGTAATTACAGGAGCCTGTCGGTTGCAACCTTGTCAGTTTTTATATGGAGATTTGCTGTGGAAGATTTGTTTTAGCAGTGGTATATGGCCTGTTGTGAGCTTTCTCTGTGAATTAAAATGTTAATTCTTTTGTGACAGGTTTGTTCAACATTGGGAACAGACTGCTGGCTAGCATCGACCAGCTGCTGAAGATCAGGGCCTATATCAAACTGGGCCAAGCACCCTCTCATGCAGCCAGGACCGTGCTTGAAAACATCCCCAATCACCCTGGTAACAGTGGACCCTACATCCTGCAACTGCATTCTCTTAATCCTGTCTTGCATTTTGAGCATTTTCAAAATTGTGTCTTTTGTCTTCTACATTATGTTTTCAAGAGTTTCACTGTGTCTTTCTCTTTTGCTTCAGTCCACGCTCTGAGTCCAGAGGAGTTATCTCAAATTCTAGAGCTTCTCCTGAGCGGCTACTGGGCCTTTGAGTGTCTGACAGTGAGAGATTACAACGACATGATCTGTGGCATTTGTGGTGTTGCTCCCAAACTGGAGGTTGCGCAGCGATACACAAGCAACGTACTGGAGCTAAAGAATGTGGAGGTGAGAAATTAATGCAAGAAAAGTAGTCGGAAATTAAAGCCCAAAGTAGAGTCAATTACAACACACTTAGAGCAGTTTAGCAGGGACAGTATCATGAATGTCACTGTGTGCCTCACAGACAGCCACTCAAAGCGGCCACGCCCTTAATTATGTATAACTTTAAGCCTTAAAAAATGTTAACAGGTGCATAATATAAAAATGAAACCCCTGTATAGTTGTAATGGATGTTGAAATTAGCTATAGAGACCAAAACTGTTTTTGTGCCAGGCTGTAACTTGTTTATTTCTGCTGTAAAGTTAAGCATTTTAATATGGGGGGTCTATGGGGATCGACTCCCTTCTGGAGCCAGCCCTCAAGTGGCCATTAGAGGAACTGCAGTTTTTGGCATTTGCGTTTTTGGCCTCTCCACATGCTCACACACTTTTCATTCTGTCCACAGTTCACCTGGCCCGAGTTTTCAGTCTCAGATGAGGTACACGTGGATGACTTCTGGTTGACCATGGAAAGCGAAGCTATCGAGCAAGCAACTTTCCCCACTGACATCCCCATCACACGGGTGGATGCTTCTATAATTTCTCCCTTCATACCTCCACTCATGAGGAGTCCCGCTGTCATCAACACGGAGAAAGACAAGGTCCTGACACACACACAGCAGCCCTCAGGTACCTAGTAGAAAACCTTTTATATTTTATTTTTATATTCTTACATAAAACTGTTATCCTGTTTTATACACATGTATATAGCTACAGAAATGATGTTTATATGTAGGCCAACCTGGAATTTAGTGTCAACCTGGTTCCTTTGACAAAAGGCCAATGGGAATTTTCCATTCTATGTTGGATTATTGCACAAAATAAGATCTGTCGAGAACAAAAGTTAATGATACTTCCATGTTTTGTACAGCAAACGACAAAGAAATGAACACCTCTCATTTCTTTGTCGATTTGTGAAGCATAAATGCAATCACCTGAAGTAAAAAGCCAACATTAGGTTATAAACTTGTTAGCAACCGCCTTTTTTAAGACACATAAAAGCTTCAAAATTCACGAGTGCGGTATTTGTTGACAAAATTTTAAAAAAATTTCTTAAGCTTGTGTTAACCACAGACCTTAATTTAGACATCTAACCAAAAATCCATCCCTCTATCATTTCTGTCCTGTACATTATCCCCAACACTTGCAATTGCCACAACTATCAGCTCAGCCGCCTGTTCCACCAGTAGACTGACGTCCGGTGGCGTACGATGTGCACGTCATACGATACATCCTCAATACTACATCTCGATATGAGTTTAATAGAATAGATTTCTAAATACCCCAGTATACTGTGATACCGTGATACCGCCCGAGCCTAATAGATTTTTTACTTGCTGCCAAAAGGACATGCAGCAGCTTTGTATCCCTCCTCTTTTTCAAAAACAAAAAAAAGTGGCCCAGATAAAAAGTTTCCAAGTCCAGGGGAATTTATTCTCACGGTGTTTTTCCAGTCACGTTCGCTCCAATCCATAGAGTTAGTTGAGAACCACTGAAAACTGTTAATTCCCCCCCAAGCCTCTTCAGAAAACCCCATTCATGCTTCTTTTGCTTCTTTTGCCGAATTTAATCTTATACATGCATTAATCTGTGACTGGGAAATTTTCAGTAGGGTATTGTTATGAAGTCAAAAGGAAGAGAGGTAGAGAATAAAATGGAAAAAGATGATTATATTCAGAGTGATTATATGCTTTGTTTGGTATGGATTTTGTTGTAATTATTCTCCCATGCTGTACAGAGTACAGTAATAGTGTTTACTAATATTAAGTTAGGGGTCACAGTGCCTTGTGTTAACTGTATGAGCACAGTTTTAAGAAGATGTTTTTCATCATCTGTTTTCAGGAGATCCATCAGTTTTGGTGCGTCTCATTCACGATGGTCAGCTGAGACTCGACAAGATTGAAGAGCACAGTGAAGACGAGCTGAGAACAATACTGGACTGCTGCGGGGCGAGCATCACCCCAGGGTCTACTAAGGTAGATGTGTGTGTTTGGGGTGGGGGGTGAGAGAGACAAAGTGTTCTTCCTGGCTGAGGCGGAGATGGTAACGTCCCGATCATGAGCACACATGTGTATTGGGCCTTCAACTGGCTCAAGTAATCAACTTTTTACAAGCAACATATTAGTTATAATAAGTATGTGATTGGAAAAAAAAGAAACAAAAATCAGTTATTAATAAATCGTGGTCAAATTGCAATTTTCTTTGGTCCCAATAATATTTGTTCCTAAAATGCAAGTAGCAGATCACGTGGTCTGGTTGAGCTGTGTTTGAGGCTGAGAGTATGACCACAAAAACGACTTTACTGAATATCTTGTAAAACAGTTTCATTTTGCTCGCAAAATATTAACACAAATGTGGATCTAGTGTTTTTGAAGCATTTAAAATTGTATTTTAAGTAATCCCGTCTCACACACTTGTACAAGACACTTTTATAAGACAGCTGCTTTTTTTGCAGGATTCATATTAATTATTTCCTTCAAAATTATTTGCTTTTATCAGTGTACAGTACAGGCCAAAAGTTTGGACACACCTTCTCATTCAATGCGTTTTCTTTATTTTCATGACTATTTACATTGTAGATTCTCACTGAAGGCATCAAAACTATGAATGAACACATGTAGTTATGTACTTAACAAAAAAAGGTGAAATAACTGAAAACATGTTTTATATTCTAGTTTCTTCAAAATAGCCACCCTTTGCTCTGATTACTGCTTTGCACACTCTTGGCATTCTCTCCATGAGCTTCAAGAGGTAGTCACCTGAAATGGTTTTCCAACAGTCTTGAAGGAGTTCCCAGAGGTGTTTAGCACTTGTTGGCCCCTTTGCCTTCACTCTGCGGTCCAGCTCACCCCAAACCATCTCGATTGGGTTCAGGTCCGGTGACTGTGGAGGCCAGGTCATCTGCCGCAGCACTCCATCACTCTCCTTCTTGGTCAAATAGCCCTTACACAGCCTGGAGGTGTGTTTGGGGTCATTGTCCTGTTGAAAAATAAATGATCGTCCAACTAAACGCAAACCGGATGGGATGGCATGTCGCTGCAGGATGCTGTGGTAGCCATGCTGGTTCAGTGTGCCTTCAATTTTGAATAAATCCCCAACAGTGTCACCAGCAAAACACCCCCACACCATCACACCTCCTCCTCCATGCTTCACAGTGGGAACCAGGCATGTGGAATCCATCCGTTCACCTTTTCTGCGTCTCACAAAGACACGGCGGTTGGAACCAAAGATCTCAAATTTGGACTCATCAGACCAAAGCACAGATTTCCACTGGTCTAATGTCCATTCCTTGTGTTTCTTGGCCCAAACAAATCTCTTCTGCTTGTTGCCTCTCCTTAGCAGTGGTTTCCTAGCAGCTATTTGACCATGAAGGCCTGATTGGCGCAGTCTCCTCTTAACAGTTGTTCTAGAGATGGGTCTGCTGCTAGAACTCTGTGTGGCATTCATCTGGTCTCTGATCTGAGCTGCTGTTAACTTGCGATTTCTGAGGCTGGTGACTCGGATGAACTTATCCTCAGAAGCAGAGGTGACTCTTGGTCTTCCTTTCCTGGGTCGGTCCTCATGTGTGCCAGTTTCGTTGTAGCGCTTGATGGTTTTTGCGACTCCACTTGGGGACACATTTAAAGTTTTTGCAATTTTCCGGACTGACTGACCTTCATTTCTTAAAGTAATGATGGCCACTCGTTTTTCTTTAGTTAGCTGATTGGTTCTTGCCATAATATGAATTTTAACAGTTGTCCAATAGGGCTGTCGGCTGTGTATTAACCTGACTTCTGCACAACACAACTGATGGTCCCAACCCCATTGATAAAGCAAGAAATTCCACTAATTAACCCTGATAAGGCACACCTGTGAAGTGGAAACCATTTCAGGTGACTACCTCTTGAAGCTCATGGAGAGAATGCCAAGAGTGTGCAAAGCAGTAATCAGAGCAAAGGGTGGCTATTTTGAAGAAACTAGAATATAAAATATGTTTTCAGTTATTTCACCTTTTTTTTGTTAAGTACATAACTCCACATGTGTTCATTCATAGTTTTGATGCCTTCAGTGAGAATCTACAACGTAAATAGTCATGAAAATAAAGAAAACGCATTGAATGAGAAGGTGTGTCCAAACTTTTGGCCTGTACTGTATGTGGCATATATTTACTGTATTATCTGATTTCATGTTTTGCTCATATCTGAACTTTTGTACTGGTAAAGTGGGAAAAAAGTTGATTGGGAAAAAACTACTTTATTACATTTCAGTAGTGTGAATGCTGTAGTCTTATTACAAGACTGCATTCAGACACATACGTAGAGGCGAATGTAGTAGCGTTCACAAACACTGTGTCCGACTGCCGTTTGCAGCGCATTTACAAATGTCAGCTGGCGATATAGAACAGCAGTGATTTTTATCGTTGTGGTGGCAAAAACATAACCAGCGGAAACACTGTTGCCCACCCAGCAAAACAGTAGGCTCTTTCCTTCCTTTTTCACAGATTTGGCAGGGCTTTTACAAGTGCACTGTGCTGATTACAATACAGCGCCACCACACCAATGTGATGCCTCAATTGTAGTCAAAAATGACAGAAATCCACCAAGTGCAACACTTGATACAAAACAGTGTTTTCCATCATGACACCTGTCAGAGTTTTATTGACAGGCAGGACCAAATTGGACGGATGTGGCTGCCTAGTGATCCTCTATGCAGGAAAAACCCTGCATATGTGTTTGTTACGGACGCACGTTTTTGCAGTTACTAGCCATTGATGGAACAAACCGTTTTGGGAATCTCCCCTGAGAACTGTATACCTTTTTGGTTGCATTTGCACTGCCATCAGGATCGCTGAAGTGATGTAAGCTGGCTTTCAAAGAGTAAAAATGGCGTTGAATTTCCCCCAACGCACATACGCTCAGTAAAGACCAGACTTAACTGTTGGTCCATTTGTCTGTTTTTTTCCATGTTTTCATCACAAGCTGTTGTTTACACGACTACACGGTTATATAAAATGTCAGCTGCCGACACTGCACTGGCTCATGTGTTCTACCAATTAAACGTATGCCTCCACCTACATGACTCATGGCTCCTCTTGTGCTGGGAGAGTACCTACAATGAAATAGGAGCTATAAAGGTCTTTCATAACAGCATTTAAAGGACTGTGATTGTGCCTAGTCATTGCAGTGCAGACACAATAAAAAGCAGGGCCCTTACGACTATGAGAAAGTTCCTCCGGTCAGAAAACCCTGAATGACTGTAAATAAATATGTTAGCTAGTAAAATATTAGCTAGAATATGAACAACTACGCAAATCATATTCTTGTGGTGCCGCCACTATAAAAACTGGGGCTCCTTAAACTACAAAAATGTTCCTCAGGTCAGTAAACTTCTAATAATTGGAAGTAAACATGTTGACGGTAAAATACTTGCTAGAATATGAGTGTTACTGTTGGAGCACATACACAAATCATATTGTTGCGGTGCCGACACTATAAAAAAGGGGGCGTCTTATGACTATAAAAATTTTCCCCAGTTCAGAAAACTTTTAATGACTGTAAATTACTAGCCAGAATACGAGTGGTACTGTTTGAGCAAATACACCAATCATGTGATGAGTTCATGGCCGAAAGAACAGGAAATCCCCTCCTCTCCTTTGCACCTTGCGGCTGCTAAGACGCAGGGTGTCTTGCTCAAGGGTATTTCAGCACATTGTTTTGTTTTCTATGAAGGGAGAATCTAGTTGAAAGATGGTTTCTTTTATTTGTTACTCTGTGTTTGTGTGTTTTTATCTCTACTTACTCTGGTGTGCTCATATCTGTTTACCTCAATAAACCCTTTTTTGTCTCCCTCTGTGTTAGACTGAGCTGCTGGCCTCCCTGATCTCCCTGTACACACTGGTTCACAGCGGCCTCCTCACAGCTCCACAGCCCCCTCCACACCTCACCGCTGGCAAGCTGTCAAAGGTCTGCCCGCACAAGGTAAAAACAACAGCCAGAATCTGCCTTGTATGAAAAAGACATACAGTATAGACAAGCAAAACTTCAATTATCCCTCTGCTTGTCAGGGCGGCCAATCCATTTCTGTCCTCTTTCTGTGTCCAGGTGGTGTGTGGCTCTAAGTACTTGGTGAGAGGAGAGACAGCTCGGGACCACATAGACCTGCTGCTGTCTTCCCGCTACTGGCCCCCAGTCTATGTCAGCGACTGTGCCCGTCAGGTAGCGCTCTGTGCTGACATGCAGTACCCAGAACTGGCAACCCAGATGTGGGGCAGGAACCAAGGCTGCTTCTCTGACCCTTTTGAAAAGCCAGAGGTGAGTGATTTGAAATTTAATCCAGTCATCTATCAAGGAACTCACGTGTGCAGGTTAGAATTCAAAATCAAAAGAATCAATGCCTGATCAGTATTTTTTGATCATAGAAAATTTTACATATGTTCACTAAGGATGTTCCTAATGACTAATTTCCCAGATGTTTGAACGGAAGTTTAAATTTGGAGTAGTTGACAACTCCAAAAGTACTAAAACACTCAGCAGTCAAAAAGTAGCGAAATTTGATTTAGAGGGTTAAACACTGTTTAAAAAAATATTGCATTATAAGTGCCATTGAAATCGTTAATCACATTTTTAAATAACCAAATCGTGTTTTAAATGTTGCTAGAATGCTGCAATCGCATAAAATAATATTATTTTAATAAATGATTAGTATTTCAATCAGGAGAGACTTAATTTTCAGTGAACAATAATTCATTACATAATAAAGATAAATAGTGAACAGTTCCTTGGCGATTAGACGGCATTGTGACATGATATATTTCGGGTGTGAGGATGCCATGTTTAGTTTAGGAATATTCCCCCTCAGTGGAGTCTTGATCATGATGGTGGAGGTGAAGACAGTTGGCTGAAGATGAGAATGATGGGAGATTCATCCTGAAATGACAACTGACAGCAGCAGAAGGAGGAACAGTTTTAAAATGTGGCAGCAATGATATGATTGGCTCAGGGAGATGAATGAAGAGTGACTTTAAAATGGAAAATTTAGAATTTTCTGTCTCTCAGTTTATTCTGAAAGTAAAATTACCCCAGTTTCTTTTTCTTTCTTTTTTTTGTATTGTCTGTGATATTCTGTCTGTCATATTGAAAGTGATGTTTGGTGTCTTCCCGGGATCCAAACTTACAAAATGACATCATGAATTGCCATAACATCTACTTTTATGGGCTACTGATGAAGACTACAACAAACTGATGTATTTGAAATGTAAAAATGTGTGATATGTTGCCTTTGAATGCCTGGAAGATCCAGACAGAGAGGATATTATCATTAAATATACCCACTCTCACTTGTCACACACGCATTTGGAATTTGACATTTGCCACCATGAAAGTTGACACGTGCAAATTTAACCAATATGAATGTAACACACACATTACTGACTCTTTCACCATCATAATAATGTTGAATAAGTGCACTTTTACTGCCTGTTCCACATCAGGGACAGGCCCTCAAGTCAGGGACGTGATGTCAGAATGTCAGCTGCAGCTCATGAAATAATAACAGGTAATTTTAGCTAGCTAGCAACACACTAGTCACCAACAGACACACGAAACAAACAGTTCAAATGCTACACAAATCAACATGTGACTGACTTACTTTTCCGCTGTCAAAACACTGTCTCTTTAAATCTCTTCCTTGCACAGGAATAATCCTTTTGACTTGCTCCAGTGCTAAAAATGCCTCCATTTTGTTCATTTTTAAATTCTCACGATTTGGCACCTCTCCACATATAACACACTGAGGCCTCTCCTCTGCATTTCACATTCACAAACTCCTTTTATGTCCATGTCGACATCATGCACGCGATCGAGAGTGAGGGAATCACAGAAGTCACACTCAACGTAAACTCAGCCAGAGACCGTGAACATGTTTTCAGGTCAAAGTTCATGTGAAGAGAAAAAAAAATATCTGGACTGAGCAGACCACCATAGGAAAAAAGAACACTCCTTTTCTATTTTAGAATTCACATATTATTGGTGCACACTTTACTCTGCCTTTTGGGGACCCAATAAAAACGGGTTGGGCAAGACTATTACACATATTTGTTTGATAAAAGCTCAAGGTGTGTTGCAGCCTCAGACAACCTCTCCTCTTTGTCTTTAGTTTGTGTCATGTGCTGAGCTGCAAGACCAGCCGTACAGCGCTGACCTGTCGCTGGTAGCAGAGAACCAGCAGGTCCACCCCATCACCAAATCATCTTGTTGCTGGCTGGTTCATCCTCCTGGAGCAGCCCAGGAGTCTCCTGCTCCTCCCTCAGAGCACCACTCGATGTCCCTCTGCAAAGATCTGGAGCCCTACGTCAGCCTGGTGGCTGAGCTGGAGAAAGAGAGGGAAGAGGACGACGAGGGGGCAGAACAGAAAGAGCAGACAGACAAAGCTGAGAGTGACTCCGCAGAGAGCTCAGATGACTGTTACTCTGTGAGCCGTGCACGGCGGCAGCCTGTGGTTTTCAACAACACAGCTTATTACTACCTTTACAACCGTCTGGTAGATTTTCTGACCAGCAGAGACATTGTGAGCCAGCAGATCAACGAAGTGGTGAAGGCCTGCCAGCCTGGGGAGGTAGTGATCAGGGATGCTCTGTACCGACTGGGAGTGGCACAGATCAACACAGAGAAAGAGGAGGATGAAGGAAGCGGGGTGCAGGGACAGACACAAGAGGCAGGGACGGAGACTTATGAGGTTGTGCTTCCTGAGTAGAAATGCTCAGGGTGGACAATCAGCATGCAGGCAGATGGATGGACTGAATGTAAACATGGCTGCATCTAAAGACAGGAGTGCAGCCATCAGGAGAGATGGAAGTGCTACCAGAAGTATCAAAGAATATGGGGGCAACACAGTGCTAACCATAACTCAGTGTTGGAAAGTACTTTACTGTTATATTAGCCTGTATAACAGCACATAATAACAGCTATACATTGTTTTACTGATGTGAGGAAGTAGACTGAATACTGAAAAAGTGGGCTGAATTTTGCCGAAATGGACCTTAACGTAGGTGATGGGATGTCACTGGTGTTTACTGTGAACATATAAAAAACAAAATTGCAGATTACAGCATACGCGGCCATATTCTTAACCGTCTCTAACCACAGTTAACAGTCAGTGTGAGAGTTTATAGGAGTCAAGATGATGGAGAATGAGTTTCAGACTTATTCTTTTAAATGACTAAAAGAATGTAATCTTTTTTTTTTTTACCAGTAGGGTGTCAAGAGTTAAAGAGGGGAAGAGGTGTGTAAAGGCGATCTTTTCTGTGACTGAAAGAATGTAAAGATTTTAATAACTTAACCAATTCAAGCCTAAATGTATATATTTAACCATTAATAGTGTGTTGTATTTATTTCCCTTTTATGTCCAGAGACATTTCTGCTTTACATTTTTACACTCTTACCTCTCCCCTGCCACGTGTTGCCTTTTAGACTGACGTTTGCTTTTGAAAAGTGATGATAATTGTCGACTGTGCAGAGTCATGATGTGGTGATGGACCTTGCGGCCTTTGCTTTATTTTGGATTTCATTTTTTCTTCAAGGAAGTTCAAGTTATTCCTGTCAACTGATCAGCAGTCAGCCTTTAAAAATGAGCTCTGTAGATCTGCCTGCATGAGGTGCTTCAGAGAGATTACTTTTTGTCACCAATGCTTTACTTTGCAATTAAGACAAGACTTTTACGAAGCATTGACACTGTCTAAATGGTTGAAAATAGGTTCATTTGTCAAGACTTCAAGTGTTCAGTGGGGACACCTGTTGATCAGAGCACATCGCAGCAGCCAAGAATTCTGTAGATAAAGAAAATATTGTGATAGCTGACACAGTTATGTCCTGTAAGTGAAACTGCTGATGTAACAGATACAATAAATGAATGATTTTGCAGCTCTGGTCATCTTCACTGTGGCAAAATGGTCAAACTGTCATAAAGCCTTTCTGAATCATGAGGTTAAAGGACAACAAGCAATTGATTTCAGTTGCGGGGATAGGTAAAATCAGCAAACCTGGGGTGCCCAGTGGCTTAGTGGGAAGAGCAGGCATCCCATAAATGAAGGCAATGGCCTTGCCACAGCAGCTGTGGGTTCAACTTAAGCCTGCGGCCCTCTGCTGCATGTCATCCCCCCTGTCTCTCCCTTTCATGCTTTGACTATCTGATCCAATAAAGGCAAAAAAAGCCTAAAAATCAGCAAACTTGTTTATATCTCTTGTCATTTTCCAGCCCAGTCTCACTCTGAAGTCGTCGAAATCCAGCATCCAGCGCTTAGACAGTGACTTGTAACATCAGACACTGAGGAAAAAGCTGTCCTTTAACGTCGGCCGGTCGCAGTTATAGTATAAAGCCACTCTGTGGCGTCGGGGAAACATGGCGAGTCAAGAATCAAAGTTAGAATACTTAGAAGACCAAGACTTTCACCTAAGAAAGTGGTGATCGTGTCCCTTAAAATTATAAAGCTAAACCCTGTTCTTTTCTCCTAAACCTAACCACGTGTTTTTGTTGCCTAAACCCAACCATGTGCGTTAGTTGTTGGAAGAAATAAAAAGACAATTTATGTTGTTGTACTGACGTAGTGCTTTTATTTTGAAAGAGACTGCATGAAAACATTAAATTTCCTGTTAAAACAAAAGTGTATTTTGAAGGAAGACAATGCATGTAACAGGCACTCAGGGTACCTTTCACATCTTATGTAGATGTGGAAGGTCCATGACCAAATGTCGATATCTTTACTTTACACATGAACTGATTGAGGCCACGATAGGCCGACAACTCCAGTGTTCTACTACGTAAAATTACTATTTTTGTCAATGGAATCTGGTGGTTGCTTTAACTTATTCTTATTAAGTGAATGTTGAATGCAAAATGTAATGGCTATAGACTAATGACACCATCAGCGTCTCTCTCCTCCTGGAAGACAAAGGCTCAATTTACGGCACAAAGGAAGTATGTCAACTATTGCACAACCTAAGCAGGAAGAGGACAGTGCTTCTGTTTTCCTGGGCAGCTATTGATAGCTATCACCAGTTACCAGAGTATCAATGTAAGTTCTCTGTCATTACTATCTCCATGCCCCCCCAGGCTTCTTTTTACTGGGCTCTGACAACAAATACTCTTCTATAACTTGTCAGAGGTGGTGAGCAGTGGAGAGACACAACCTTGTGTCAGCTACAACAGACAGCTGTAAGGGTTTGTATCAAAACTACCCACCAGAATTACTACAAAGCTTTCAACAGTCATGTGGCAAGAAAAGAGGCTTTAAATGTCATAGTTATCTTGTGTGAGTCATAAAGCTCCAAAGTAGGACAGATTTTTTGTGTTTGTTTGGTTTTTTTTTCTTAGCCTGAACTCTTTGTACTAACCCGATTTTTTACACACCGCTCCTCATTGTGTGGTTTTTCCCCTCATGCAAAGTCGAGAGTTGTGGATATACAGGCCGCTGTATAAAGGGCTGAGAGGGCAAATTATTCCACAAAGTTTCAAAGAGAAATACTGTGTTTTTAGTTAATAACATGGCTGTAGTCAGTGTTCTTTGTATAATAATGTTTTGCATGCAAAATTGCCGCTTAAATCTTCTGCAACATTACAAAACTGGCCATGACCATTTTTCTATTTTAATGTTTTAGAACATTTCATCTTTATATTTACTCAGAGCAAGGAAGAACTGACCTGAAAAAACTTCAACAGGTCTGCGTGATTGAATTTACATTAGTCTAATAAAGGTTAACAACCAATACGACGACACAACAGGACTTTTACAGTGAAAATCTATTGACTAAAAGTGCGATTGAGCTGATTATTTATGCTTTACATTCCTGAAAAACAAAATATTCTGTGCAGTAACAAGAAACTTATTGAGGACATTCACCAATGAAAAGCCCAGGGCTTCATTAAGGAAAAATATCATAACTGCTTGTCCTTTTTTAAGTTTCAAAGATAGGAAAACACTTTTTTTCCGATTACAACAGGACAACTAAACTCATGGTTGTGCCCTCTCCTGTCTCAGACCTCCTTTCTTATCTTAAGTCTTAAATCTGTGCTCATCCTTGACTGTATCTTTGATTCGAAAGTGCTTATAGGCTGCTCAAGACTGATAAGCGATGAGATCAACGAATATCATGGATAAAAAGAAGAAGGTGTTTAATATGAGCTACAAGAGTCGAAGGAACTAGTCGTTTCATTAGAGGACGTTAATCAAATTCAAAATCAGTTGTTAATTTTTTGAATTATTAATCATTATTATGCAGTCATTAATCAGTTGTCTTGGCAGTCGATATATGAGCAACTCTGCAACTTCAGTGATGCAACACACAAATTAAATGATACATCAGTCATTTTTATTTTCTAAAAAGCAGCATGTTATGTATTGGTTTTGTTTCACTGGAGGACGGTCAGCGACACTGAGGAGACTGGAAAAAAGAAGAAATCAAGGTAAATTTTTGTTAAATCAAGAATATTTATTGGCTTTCATTTCCAAGCAGCACATATTTTCTTTGATTACAAAAACAATAAGATAGACAACATTTTATATTTTGTCTTTTGTGTATATTTAATGCTAACGCTAAATCAGACATCAGCAAGGTAACATATCATGAGATGTCTTTAAATCTGAGACAACATTTAATCCCCACCACAGTCATTTCCTTTTATTTGTTCACTGTGATGGAAAAGACACGTGGTCATGGCAGTGTTGGACAGTTACATGTAACTAGTTACGTGTAATTAAACTACAAAATAAATGTAAATGTAATCAGTTACAGTTACTGAGAAAAAATAAGTTGGTTAATTTAATTAATGTGACTATCAAACTGTTGTTCATTACAAAGGGGTTAAATTTAAGTATATTCAGTAAAAGGTTAATATGTTGAATATAACCTATTACATTTCAAAAGTAACCTTCCCAACACTGGGTTGGAAATAATCACGAAAGTGTTATATTACTGACAATTTCGTATCGTTACATTTCCCAAAATATGTATTAGATTTTCTAAAAAGTTTCCAAACCAAAAGAGACTGCAGTTGAATGAATGACCCAAATATCTATATACACGTGGTCTGGAAAATTTAAAGTGTCATCATCATACTGTTTGTGTTGCCACTCAGTCATTTTACTGAAGTGTTCATGTTGTTCCCCATTCACTGCTGCACAGACCTAACAACAATACTGCTGTCATTTGTGACAGTTATTTTGAATTACGGCAGAGTATATGCCATCCTACTTTAGGAAAATTACAGTTCTTTAATAGCTAAACCCCATCCTAAGATATGATGCAGGATACATGTTTCTTGATACCAAAAACCCAAGTGTCATCCTAAACTTGAGAAAACAGAGGATTTCAGATTTAGGATGTTTCTTAAGGAGACCTCAGGAATGTGTTTGTGGTGTTGCTCATAAGATCACTGAAATAACAACTGATCTTTTTTCTGACAAAGAAGAAGTTACAAGGAGACATTAAAGTCTGAGGCAAGTGAAGGAAAGAATAGAGGAGGACACTTGCAAAGCAACAAAAGCACTGTGGACGTTGTTACACTTAACTCAGTTCAGTAACATCCAGTGTTGGGCCGATCACAAAATAAATGTAACTGTAACTGACAGTCTCTCCTTGGCTCTGACTTCCCTATGCTCTTTTCTACTTCTTTATCCTACTCCCACTCGTACGGCACTATTACTCCCACTAATAGTCTCAAGCATGTGCACCAGGGACTGTAACATCTGGTCCCAAGATGAACTGTTCAAGTTACTGAGAAAAAAGTAATTAAATTACAAATACTGATCAAAATTACAACAACAAGTTACATCCAAATCTTTTCTTTTCAGTAAAAAGTTTATATGTAGAATAAAACATTCATTCTGTTTCTTTGGATATTCTCCTGTGCAGTAATACCTTCTTTTGGCATCGTCTATTTCTGAACATTTTTCAGCTTTATTGCCCAGTGTATAACATTTGTTAGAAAAGCAATCAAAAAGTAGTCAAATACGATACATTGCTTTGATGAAGTAATAAAAATAGATACATGACTTACTATATTTTTAACAGGATAACTCCGTAACCTATCACATTTCAAAGTAACCTTTCCAACACTGTAAATATCCTAGTGTCTTGACAGACAACCGAACAAAGACGTCACAGTGTACCTCAGAAAGTCTGGCAGCACATAAAGGAGTATGATTTCAGCTGAAACCTCACAAAGGAGGGATAGCATGTAGACTTTCTGGTGGGGATGAATACTTCCCTACAAAGTTTTCAGAGTTGTGCAATGTTGACAGATACTGTGGGAAACGTTCCAGAGGAAATGCAGATTGGACGTGATCCAGAACAACAAAAATAGGAAGTGAGGAGAGAGGAACTTAAAGGCAGCACAGTTTCTATCAGCTCAGTGAGGTACAACAAAGAAAAACGTAGTTTAGAAATATCTGGCACCATATCATCATCTCGGCAGCATATAAAAAAACTCTACAGTCCGAAGGTTCAGTGGTAAAGCTTCGTTCAAAGCATTTTCCAGTGATTTAATTTGCAGCTTTTGCATTGATTATCTCATTTGCACACAAATAAAAACAACATGGACATACTGATGTACTATCTATTCTACATTCCAGCGAAAATAAATTCTTGATTTACATCATGAGATATATACATTATCAGACATCTCACTCTTGTTTCATTCAGATGCAAGCACATTTAAAATGCCTGAAGTCACACAAATACGCAGTCTGTATCTCTCACATAGCTTATATATCATTCTGAAATCTTCATACAGTTGGCAGTGTAGGCTGACTGCTACATACAGACATAAATGAAGCTTACATCCTAATAATTGTCTAACTCTACAGAAAATGAGAAGATTAAGTCGTGCCATGCAAAAAAAAAAAAAGAAAAAAGAAACTTTCACATTGTCAGACATGAATCATTGTTCATCTGATCCATAAGGGATCCACAGATTTCCCTGCTCAATTCAGTTGTATTCGCTGCTCCTAAATCACACTGACCGCTGCTTAATTAATTAGATGGAAGTGGAACAATCACATGTTGCGACTGACAGCTGCTGTTAAGTGTGTCACAAGAGATATAGCTATGACCAAAGCACAAAGACAGAAACAACGTGGTCAGTCTTTGCCTCCTCCACGGTTGATTTAGCGTGTTTAAAACAGGGAAAAACACTCGCACTGTTTAGATGTTTAATTAAGGTGATGTGGGAATAAAAACCAACTTATCTGGAGCACATGAAGATAAGAAGTCACAAAGTGGTTGTTGTTGTGGACGCAGTGTTTGTGACTTTTGGGTTGCTTCCTCTGAGAAAGCATACATGCAATGAAATGATGAGAAGGAAGTGAACCTGCTGACAAAAAATCTCTACAAAAACATTCACTGTCACGGCAATAATAAAAAAAAGAAAAAGTAATAAACACAGAGTTTATAATAAGAAAATAAGAAATGACAAAAAGATTCTCCTTTACTTAACAGATTATACCTCAAATACATATCAGAAGGAGTGAGAGACAGTACGTGAGGGGGTAACATTTAGGATAAGGTACAGCTTTGGATACTTTCGCGGTCTGTTGACATGTTTCCTCCTTTCATGTCTGCAGTCGGTGTCATTAGACGTGGCAATTTGTAGTCATGGTCTGCAAAGAAGCAAGTCACATGCTTGCTGCAGCTGCTTGTCTGTCTGGCGAGCAGGCACAACAGGCAAAAAATAGCTGTGAAGGCGACTCTCTGCGACTGTCCAGCGGTTAGAACAAGCAGCGGTACTCTGGCCACGAGCCACAGCTGATAGCGCTTTCCTGATGCTTGTTGATGAGCGATTGATTCACTGATTGATCGGCGGCTTAGGGCGATCAACAAAACTGGTAGTTGTTGGTCTTCATCAGAGGCTGCTCCTCTTCCTCGTGGTCACAAGACTGGTCACAGGGGCCGTCGCAGCACTTGGGCTCGTCACACACTTCACCCTCAGTGACCTGCTGCTGCACATTCTGGTAGATTAGCTGTGGAGAGGCAGCGTTCAGACGATGAGAGTTGATCCAAGAAAGCCAAATCTCAGCTTCATATTAACATTTATAAGTTATTGCACTCAAACACTATATAGGCTGGTCTAAAAAATACCCGTGTATCTCCCCTGGGAACAGCACCCAAGTCAGATTCAATTAATTTGATTTGTTTCACAGCTAAATCTGTTTGTCTGTGAGAATTAAATATAAAAAAGGAGGGTGTCCTGAGGACATTTGGGCTGGAGCATCACATGTTTTTGCTCCATTGGCAGTTCTGGCAAAGCCAGAGTGGTGTCACTGAACTCTGCTTCAAGTTCACACTAATCATTTACACTGTGTCAGTGAAAAACGCTATTCCTCCCATTCATTTTCATTTGGATTTAACTGCAGAGGTGGGGCTGTGCACATATTCAACTTTTGGAGGAAAGCTGACCTCAAGCTGCAGTGGCAAATCATGAAACCGGCGATCAGACTGCAAGACACCTGCAGTACACTGGAAGCAAATTTATTTTTCAAAGGATGGTGAAGGCATGACCCACCTTACTCTGCCTCTGATTAGATTACCCTGACATTTTTACTCTAACCAATGAAGGCAACGAGCACTAGCCAATGAGAGGGAGAGTAAGATGTGTCATGCCTTTGCCATCCTAGAAAAGGAAATTAGCCAATAGGAGCAAGTATCACAGCCTCTTTCTAGTGTTTAATATGATAGTGAGGAAAAACAGAAATAACTTATTAACAGCTTGTGAGTACTATCTTACAAAGGTGAGCTCTTGCCTTGGTTGTGTGCGTGATGTGTGTCTTTTGTGGCAGTGAACATAGTACAGAAGTGATAATCAAAAGGAATTCTACAGATCTTTTAAGCCAACATAAACAAACTCACAGAAGACAAATGGTCTCTGCATTGGGGAGCTTTTTATAGTTGGTCTCCACCCTCCACTCCACCACAAATGGGTCATCTAAGTGACACTCCCTCAACACCTGATTGTGTGTAGATGCTGCCTTTCTCACCTGTTCGAGCTCAAGTTGGTCCCCGAGTAGTCTTTCTATCATCTGACTGATCTTGCTAAACGTTGGACGCTCTGTCGGCTCCAGATTCCAGCACATCTTCATGATCATGTAGCTGAAACAAAAGTGAATCACACTTACACAACAGATTTGTTTCAGAGACATTTTCTAGACAAAAAAGCCATTGATATATACATTTCAAGGGGGGTTATATCCCAAACTGTGTGTTCCCTTTTTACAGATCAAACTTTGTAACATCAGGAAACGGTATAAAGCCAAATTGGACAAATAAGAAGAGGTTTATGGAGGTGGTGACGCAGTTTGATGAGAGAGACCCGTTCATAAGCACTCCTGGCCCTCCAGTCTCATTTTGCTGCCGTGAAATAGTAGTTACATGGCTTCCTAGCTTTGAGATCATGTGGCTAACAGGCAGAACTGAGGCCTGACACACAGCAGAACAACAGATGATTAGGCCCTGACTCAGATTCAGTCCCCTCTGTTTCCACAGTTATTCCGGGTGGTGTGACAGCCACGCCAAATCAGCACACACAGATGTGAAGGCCCTCTGAGATACTGGGAAAAACCACTCTTTTCATTTTCTCATTTCGCCTTGTTAAGTTTGGATTCTAGGCCTGTTTTGTTTTTAGGTTATAAGATAACCCGAAGCAAGTAAATCAAAATCAGGAATAATGAGAGCACTTCATGAGGTTACCTCATGTGTCAGTTATTTCAGATGTTAGATAGAGCGGAAGACTGGCTAAGAAAAAAGGGAGCTTTGTTCTGTCATGGTGAACATTTGGGAAGCATGATATTTGAACCAACCATTGCTGAAGTCAACTTGAGATCAACTGTTTTTATAAAAGAGTCATTATTAAAGCTTTTATCAACTTTAATTTTACTAGTTGCTCCTGCTGTTCCTCAGTGTCTTTCCAGCTGATAAAAAGACCATTTTTCCTATTGACTCAGTTGTGAAACCCCTGCTGATAGTCACCTGATACGCCAGTAAAACTCAACTGATAATCAGAGGACAGCATTAACATTGGCAGGACGAGTTTAAGTGTTAGTGCTGCAGGGGGAAAAGCAGCAGTGATCCATCTTTTTATGAAGCGAACTTTATGTTGCTGAGGGACTTACATCTCAGCAGGGGCAAAGTTCGGTTGACACATCTGGTAGCCTCGCTTCACCATCTTGTAGAACCTGGAGTCCACAGCCACGCTGGGGTAGGGGCTCTTGCCTAATAGAGAATAATATACAGTAAGTTCAGCAGGCACATCAGGAAATAATTACGTGTGTAATTGTAGTGTGCATATGCACATGCTCTGACCCAAAGAGAAGATCTCCCACAGGAGGATGCCGTAGGACCAGACGTCACTCTGGATGGTGTAGATGCAGTCAAAGATGCTCTCTGGAGCCATCCACTTCACTGGCAGACGGGCCTTCACACACAATGTAAAAAGCACAAGAAGTGTTTTTTTTTAATATAGTCTGTAACTTGATTTAAGTGACGCAAATGTCAGCTCTATTCCGGCTTACATTGCCCTTCACCACGTAGTTGGAGTCATTCATGATGTCACGCGCTAGGCCAAAGTCACATATCTTGGCCTCTCTGCGATTGGTCAAGAGGACATTCCTTGCAGCCACGTCTCTGTGAATACACTGCGCACACACAAATACAAATACACACACACACACACACACACACACACACACAATTGTCTCTGGTTGTATTCTCACACATCAAAAGACAATAACATTACTGACTGGAGTGTATCCAAATGTAGCATGAAGAAGTATGGGCAAAAACATTGACAAACTATGACGATGAGTAAATATGGAGAGTGTAATTGGGAAATACCCCTCATAGCCCCCTCAAGAATGATTTCACACCCTGTATTCATCATATTCTATAAAAAGCAGTACTTCTTCATGCAGATTTGGTTGCTTTTTTTCCTCAAATGCAGTTTGTTGTTTGGGTAATTCCTAGGGACAACACAGCAGCTAATGCTGTAAATTCTCACAGCAATATTATCTGTTTTACATCCTTTAAAGTGGTAAAATCACTCACGTTCTTGGCAGCAAGAAACTCAAGGCCCTGGGCCACTTGGTAGGAGAATCTCAGCAAGTCATCAATGTCCAGAGGCCAGTCACCAGTCTCACTGCACACACAATCTGGACAAGAATCAGACAGGAGTTATGTTAGTAACACCCAGAGTCAGTCAAGCAAAGAGGATTTCATTAGCATGCTCCTGCTTGATGACTAAAGTTCTGTGAACATAAACTGGGATTGGGTGAGGGAGCTTTTCACCTGGAGATGATTCTGTATTTGGCAGCTGGCTGGGTCTCATCTCTAAGTAGCTGCTTGAAGTTGTGCTAGAGATCCCGCTGTCACTGTTGAATGGAGAAAAACAAGAGGAGAAGGACAGAGCAGGAAGTTAGAGATTTAAAGTATCTTACAAATCCTTCATCATCAGACTGCATGTGTTCAGTTGACGCACCTTCTGATGAACTGTTTCTGACTGCAGATGTTCTTGTAGTCACTACAGTCCTCCGTAATATTGGAAATGTTCATAACAAAGTTCTCAAACGTCTCTGCCTTCTGGCGAAGGAAGTTCAGGAGATCGCCGAGGCTGCAGTACTCTGTGATCACAAGCACTGGCCCTGATGAGGAGACAGACGCATCATGTTACAACCCTTTCAACAAAGAAAACCAGGTTGCATGCAAATTACTAGATTTTCCACGGACTAGGCGGCTTTCATAACCATGTGTTTACAGTATCCTGCTTTAATCCGAGACAAACACAAGATGCTGTCTGACCTCCATAGGTGCACGCTCCCAGGAGATTGACGATGTTCTTGTGGTGTCCCAGGTGACTCAGGATCTTCAGCTCTGACATCAGAGCTTCCCTCTCATCTGAATGAGCACTGGCTGCAGAGACACGACGCACATTGTCGTCATATTATCATCCTACCTGATCATGCACAGCAAATGATTTAGGATCACACTAAGTGACATTTTCTTTGGCACATTTTCATTCACCAGTCACGCTTACGTAAAAGCAAACTCTCCATTTAATCTAACATCTTTACACGTGCTCACCTTTTAACATCTTCACAGCTACGCGCAACACATCGTCATCCTTTCCCAGGCCATAGGCTGTGGCCTCAACAACCTTTCCGAAAGCTCCTGCACCCAGGATCTTACCTGGTCGGACAGAAAAATACAGCAATAAAGCGTGTTATTTACAGTTACATTTCAGATCATTTTCTTTTTCTATTCTTTTCTTATTCTATTTCTCTGGAGCACTAACTAATTGTTTCAAAAGTGTTTAAGAGTGAGTCCATCTGAATTTATCTCAATTTAGGATAACATGGTGCAGACCTAGCTTCAGCTTGTCTCTTGGGAACTCCCACTTCTCATTGTAAGGCAGCTGAGTGGGGTCAATAAACGTGTAGTTGTTTCCATCTCTTGCTTCAATGATCTGCCAACGGATCTCATACCTGGGTTTCTGAAGATGAAAATGGGAGCAAAAAGGAGGTAAACAACTTCGACAAGAACACACTGCATCTAAGTAGCCCTTCTTCTGTGGAAATAATTGAATGTCTAAATAACAGAGGTTGTTTTGCAAGTCTTAACATTTAAGTCCTGAGTCAAGTTTCAAGTCCTAAACTTTGAGTTTCAAGTCACGAACAAGCGCTCTTCACCAAAAATAATGCACTCATTTTTTGTTAAAACAAGTTTGATGAAAAGTTACTTAGTGATTTAGCTAACATTAGCTTAGCATTAGCTCCCTGACTATGTTCATATTAGTCTCGACTCAGCCAACTGTCCTTCTTGCAACTTCAAAAGTCAAACAAAGTAGGAAGTTGTTGCATCATTTGCCATTTTCATCCTGCACATTTTGCATACTGTTAACTGTTATTTGTTGATCACCAGTGCGTGCATGGTTGTTCTGCGTTAACAAAAGTAACCTACTGTATGGGGTCATTCTTTCCAACTAGTGCACAGTAATATTAGTTCTTCAAGTTTCTCTCCTGTGACATGAATGAGTGGTGTTGGTGATAGTTGGAGGAAGGTATCAAGCGTTTCAAATCAAAAAGCTCAAGTCCAAGTGAACTCACAAGTCATTGGTGTTAAAGTCAAAGTCAGTAAGTACACCTTACCTGCTTATATTTGTATAACAGAAAAACCAGAAGCAGGAGGAGGATGGTCAGGATGCCTGCTGCTCCAGTCAAGGTGGAAGTGAAGAGTTTGTCTGCACAATCAGAAAGAGATCAATATTAACTCATTATTTAACTTGAATTGACTGACTGTGTGTCATGCATCTGATGTTTTGTAACGTCCCTCTGTGGATTTTGTTTACTGTTTGCAACGTTGAGCTCCACAAAAGGAAACAACAAAGTCACACAGTTTAATAACAACTACAAAGGGATCTGCTGACCATGACAACACACTGTCATAAACATTAGATTTGGTTTGAGCGCCATGTGACTGAGCGACGGCGAACTGGGAAGTACAGCACTTGTGATCACATCTGGAAAAATCAACAAATGATAATCAAATGATGCTCACCGGAAACCTCCATGGCAAATGTGTCGCTGCTGACGCCGACGAGGTTGAAGGCCACACACTCGACTGTCATCCTGTGGCTCGAGGGCCCCACGGTGAGGACGCTCTCCACTTCCACGGCCCCGTACTCCTCCCTCTGGATCTCCACTGTGGGAGCCTGGAGAGGGATGGCCATCTGCAGCCCTGAGGTGTTCTCATTGCACCTGCCTCGTTGCAAAACACATACAGTCAGACAGAAGCCACACTGAAAGTTGTGGTTCAGTGGCTTCAATTTGAAGCACAACACCAAACTTAACTATGTTTTTCTGTGCAGTGATACTCACGTAGGCCTTATCCCAAGACACTGGTACCAGATGATTCTGGGAGCAGGATAGCCAAATGAAGTGCAAGTGAGTGTGGTTATGTTTTCCCATCTCACCACAGCAACAGGTCTCTCTGCCAGTGAGGAGAAAAATATTGTAAAGGAAGCAAGGATCAGATTTTAACGAAACATTTCCCTTTCACTTGAGATAACGTAACCATGCCGCAACTCCATGAACATATTTACTGATTTGATTTCTGTTTACTGTGTCACTTACGATACATTTGGACTTGGAATGTGATGGATGCATTGGTCAAGTTGTTCTTGGCGTAGAAGGTGTATTGTCCCTGCTCCTGCGCATTCATTCTCTTCAGCTGCAGAGAAGCATGGTATCTGAAAAAAAAAACCCAAAAAGTTCTTTCTTTAAACTCAGAAAAAGAGGAATCCAGGGTGACTAATTCTGGATTCAGACAGTTCCGATGTATCATCGCTGAGTACGTCGACAAATTAAAAAGAGAACGCCACTCTTCCCTTTAGCATGACCTGAGGAAATATAATGACCTTGGTGTTCCCTGTCAAATTCACACAAAATGCACCGACAGCATATTTTAAATCCAGAGTAGCTTCCCCTTCCTGTAGTACACTTTTTTAAATGTAAACTGTGCTGACATGTGTGAGCGATAAAATAGAGCAATCAGAGACCACTACAGAGAGTCCTCTCCTTTGTCACCAGCTCTCAGCCTCTGTGTTGTACCTGTTGTTGTAGATGATGAGCTTGTGCTCCTGTGTGGACGTGTTCGGAGATGTTGGGGTGTGCCATCTGTGCTCTGTAATGCTGGGGTACGCCTCGATGAGCACATTAAGCTCCAGATCTTCTCCCTCGTTCACCTCCACTGAAAGACCCTTGTGGGCCAGTTTAGGGGACAGCTGGGGCAGCAGCCTGATGTAGGCCTTGTCTGTTGAGAAGAATTAAAACAGTTTGTTTTTAGTAGTTGAATAGGCTTTTTTAATGTGAGACGTAGCAAGAGAGATTACTTCTGTGGCTCACCTACAACCAGCAGGTATGTTGTTGAACTGTTCACCCCTGCTTCATTTGTGCCTGTGCAGGAAATGTTTCCTGTGTCTGCAAGATCCACAGCAGGGATAGTCAGTATGCTCTGAATGTCCAAGCGATTTTCTCCGCTGGAGCGAACCCGCTCCTCTATCAAAGGTTTCTGAAGACAAGAAGAGTGAATAAAATCAGAGTTAAGAATATGATAATAATCAAGAAAACCCCCAAAGTGCCTCATACTGACCGACTTGGTGGTGTATTTCCAGGTGACGTTGTAGTTGAAGTTGGGGTTGTGTGTTGTGCAGCGAATCTTGAGTTCCTCCCCGACAATGCGCACATATTCCTCTGTCTCCAGGAGGACATATGGTGGGAAACGAAGCTCTAGAAAAGAGACAATCACACATGAGTATCAAACTTAATGCATGCATCACTTCAAATGACTCTCAAACAGCTTTCATCCCAAACAGCCAAGTGGCCTCACTCTGAATGACGTTGATGGAAAAGGCCTTGGAGGTCTTCTCTACTCCATTGACCCTCGCTGTGCAGACATAGTCGGCGTTGAAGCTGGGGTGGAGCTTGTGGATGAGAATACCTCGGTGCCGGTAAACTGTGAAGTTCATCTCAGGGGGCACCAAGGTGCCATTGTCCATGCGGAGGCCCAGGTCTGTAGCTTCTGGGTCAGTCAACAGGCAGGGCAGCAGGTAATCCTCACCCTCCTTCTTCACCACCCGCAGGGATGTGCTGCTGGTCCAGAACACACGGTTTGGATCTGATTAAAAAAAAGGGATGAAGGCAATTCATTAGGTCAGAGAATAATTGTATAATGAGACTTGCACTAATAAACAACCATAGGGAAGTATAACCAGTGTGGACAGTGTGATCCATCCAAGCACTTACAACTCAATATTAGGAAGCTTGTCCTACAGTCCTTATCAGTCCGAGCTCACCTTTTACGTACACATGCACTGAGGAGGTCAGGTGCTGTAGCCCAGCCGCTGTGTAATAACACTTGTATGTCCCAGTGAATTCGGCAGAGGGACGTTCCACCTTCAAGGTGCGGGCTTTCCCGTTGCCCCTGGACACATAGCGTCTGTGTTTGGCTAGCCTCGTTTGCCAGTTTACAGGCCCGTCACCTTCACATCTCAGATCCAGGGTGGTCCCAGGTCTGACCACCACCTCAGAACTCCCCACCACCTTTGAGTTGAACTTAATCACCGGACGCCTCCATTCTGCTGAGAAGGAAAATATGAATACATTTATTGATATTTTAGGCAGTGGAAACACAATGTTAGAACAAATGAATCAAACTAGACTTTGCTGGTTCTCAGAGAGTATTTTGTGTTCAGGTCAAGACTTTGTTTCTGTTTTGGTCATTTAAAAAAAGAAAAACGGAGAAGCTCAGAGCTGTCTCGCCTGCACCATGATTCAGATCTATTTTAGAAGTAATCCCATGAATTCAGGAAACAGATTGAGAGCTTGGAGCCTGATAACATCCCTCAATCCCTCTCACTTCTGCTTTTTTTCCAATGTTGCTATCTTAACACTGGAGAAACAGTAAATATGAAAAGCTTCACATCTGCTTTGTTGTATTTTTACTTCGGCCCTCATATTAAACACCAAATGTAAGAGAAGATACACAGAATTTCAAGCATGGATAAGGGATTAACGTATTTGGGGCATCTTTGAGGAAGCTCATGAAGCCCATAACCCTGAGGGAGTGCTGTTTCAGTTTTAGTGCTGATGAACAATGATCTCTTTGATGACTTTGTTGAAGATTTGGAAGTTGTAGAAACTCTGGGCAATTCATTCAATTATAGATTGTTTTTATTTTTTGGGTTGGACCTTTTTTGTAAAAACACCAGAGAGACTGACACGTCTTTCCCGTCAATCTGAAGCGTTTTCTCAGTAAGTGCTCAGTCTACACTTTCGGTAAAGGTTATAATAGTTTCCATTTAGAGGTTTGCGCTGTGTTTTTTGAAGCTTGAAGCAGAACTGAGATTCCATGTTCAGCATTTTTGTTTCTATACACCACAACACACAAGATAATGTGGGAATGAAATACACTTTGAGACCAATCAGCGTTTCAGGTTGGGAAACCTCCTGATTGTTGATGTGAACAGTCGCCGTTCCTGTTCAATCATCTAAATGAACTATTCATCCAACCTCAAAATGACCCCAATCACACCTCATCCAGTAATCCACCAGGAAGCAAAACTAATTCATTCAGCCATAATTAAACCAAATAAACAGATGCTTTATGTGCTCTGATGCAAATACATGAAATTGTAATTTGATGCTTGGCGGGTGATATTCATTTACTATGTGCTGTTCAGAGCCGAACCAAACTGCAAAAAAAAAAAAAAACAGAGAAAGAGAGCGTGTGTTAGATCTCAGATGGAGCAGTGTTTCCCAGCTCATCTGAACTGACCACGAGTTTATGCCATGAAATGTACGATAAAACCATTAGAGCGGAATACACGAGAAGTCATGTTTGAGAATGCATTTTTAGAGGATTGTATAGTTGGTCAGTAGTAATATGTCCTGATTTGATTTGAGTTTAAAACTCTGATTTAATCCAAATCTTTTAGAGCTTTTAAAACATTAAATTCTGCATATTATCAGACTTTACATCTGTCAAATCAATATGAAAATGATGAAGAATATCACTTCTGTCATTGTTTTAGTGAAAACAAGACACTAAACAAGACACTTAATGCACCGCAGCTGTAGATGTAGCAGTCAGTGTTTGTCAGGCCTTACCTGAAGCAGCGGAGGCCACAATCCCCAGCAGCAGAGTAAGGTAGGACTGCATCCTGGATCAACTCCAAACCTGCAGTTTGAATGTTGATGCGTGCGTGTGCCACAAAACACTCTTCTTTTGATCTGTGGTGTTCGAGAAAGAAAGGAGAACCACCTCTTAAGTTGTGCTATCACTCATCCCCCTCATCAACTTCTCTTTTCTCACTGGTCAGAGAAGCTTTGCCCGTAAACACGAATCTCTGCTGAGGAACAATCTATTCAACTGTGATGTTTGTCTTCTTGAGTATACATTAAAATCAGAAAACAGACTAACAAATACTTTAAGAAAGCATTTCCTGATTACAGTTAGGAAACTGGTAAGTCACTTCTCAAAATACAGCTTTATGGAAGCTCACTCGTTTATTTCAAATGTGCTCACCTGCTGATGTCTTCAGGTGAAAGAGGGGTATAATCACTTCCCTGGGTCGGATGTTTCCAGCATCCAAAGCTGACACACGAGTCCCTTCCTCCTGCTGTGTTTGTCTCTGCCCTTCTTCTCCTTCTGCTTGTTTACAGTGTCTTCACCACAGAAGTCACACAGCAAACACAAAATCTTCCAGACAAGCAAGTGGTAGAGGGTGGAGGGAGTGTGTGTGTGTGTGTGTGTGTGTGTGTGTGTGTGTGTGTGTGTGTGAGGAGGCGGATCAGCATATCACGCTCAACAAATTGATGAGCCAGTCCCAATTTGCAACAGAAAGGCACAATTCTCCCGAGACATCCGCTGAGGTGAGGCTAATCGTCCCCAGCACCACAGGACCATGGCTGCCAGGCTTTTGGTTGTGTGCACTCATGGAAGTCAAAAAGCTCTCAGAAATCTGACCTAGGAATCACACAAAAGCACTAACAGATATGTAGAGTGAGACAAGTCAGTTTGTATATGTATAGTAGATGGGACCTGGAGATCCTTCAGGTAGATTCATACTGAAATCACTGAATGTGATTACACAAATGATGTTTAAAGCAAGAAATAAGCTGCTACCAGGCAGTATTAAAAATCTGTTCAGTGACCAAGAGGGGGGTTATAATCTAGTTTCAAAACTCAAAGTGTGCTCGCAAGAAATTATTTTGGAATTCAAAATGTGGAGTGAAGTTATGGAACAGTTTTATTGTGGAGTTCGAGCAATGTCCGAGCATACACCAAATTAAAATATAGTATAAAGACATCATATTCAAGAGGTACAGGGTTGAAGAAGGGTTAGACATTAGTTGTTCAAAGGGATTACTGCTTACGTTCTCTACTCTGTAATTGACAATGTATTAATATATAAATACGTATTTATTCATATATGGGTATGTGGGTACACACACGTATATACTGGCAGAGTTACATATATTCATACTTTGTATAATTCATATGTTCAATTATTAGATATACAAAGATAACAGGATAAGTTGATGAAGATATATGTAATATAAATATTTTTTTTTGTAAAGACAAATTGGTATTTTATACATCATACATTTAGACTGGTTTACACATGTAAGTCATGGGTAATTGGTCATTTATATTATATTATATACTAAGACAGGTTTTTGTAAGGTAGATATTTGGTAATTAATATGATATATGTTAATATTATATACATATATACATGTATATACATATACATGGGTCATTTTTGTGTGATAAAGTTAAAAGGTTATAACAATAGTATATTTAGAAAAGTAAGGTATAGGTTTACCTATATAAGGAAGCTGTCTTTCATTTCAGGGGTGGGATTTAATAAGTTTATACTTCCTCCCACTCCTTTTTGAATGTGTAAATCAAAGTAACTATACATTGACAGTTGCTTTTTATCATGCTTTTCATTATTTGTAATTACTACTTTTTTTCTGTCTGTCTGCTTGTTTGTATGTTCACATCTTTTTTGTTTTGTTTTGTTTTTACATGTTCAACATAAATATAAAATGTCAATGTGGAAGACAGAAATGTAGGCTCTGGAGGATTTTCAAACAAAACAAAATATAGACATATACAAATGAAATCCTGCTTAATCATCACCTATGGGCTTCTACTCATGTGTGGTGGTGACTCTGTTTGCAGAGCTCCTGCCCTTTAACTGTATTTTGATGTTTTTGTGAGCTCGGACCACTTCTGGGCGGAGATTTCCCCAGCCAATGAGAGAGTGCAGGTGCCGTGCCCGAGCGTGACCGAGTGTGTCCGAGCGTGCACCAGCGCGAGCCTTGCCTGAACCTCTTCTGTGAAGCCTCCTTCCGTACCTCTGGGCTCCGTACACCCGGGAGAGTTGAGCCTGATAGGAGGGGCCAAATTTGAATGTGTGTTTACAAACAGCAACTGGAAAATCCTCCAGACCCTACCTTTAATTTAGACCTGTTGTCCTCGTCCGTGGACACTTTTTTGTGCCATCTAGTGGCAGTAAGAGCACAATACACTGATCCATGTAAAAACAAGATGGCAGCCATCTCTGCCAAGTCAATCTGCAGCTGATCCCGACACAAAAGTGGACAAGGTCCAAAGTCTGATTAAGTTAAATGGTAGAAACTTGTTCATTTATGATTAGTTGTGTTTGTAGTTTGATATGGTGACCAATTTGAGCAATTTTAGCACCAGTAACAATATAAGACACTTTTAATTAGCAAGTTAATTAGGATTTGAAGACGTTGGGACTTGATTATCATTGACAACATTTAGTTTTTTATACTTATCGGGTCCTACTGATCCCAAATAGCTAGGATACATTAAAAAAAGCATACCGAACAAAACCTTGAGTCTCAGGAGGATATCGACATTTAGTCATAAGATATGGAGAACAAAACCCAACAACTGCAAAATGGTATATTGTTAATGTCCACACAACATAAAATTCTAAAATATCGTCAATCTGATTTTCATTCCAGCCAAAATATAGCATCTATCTGACATCTTTCTGACATCATTTTGACATCAGTATGATAGCTTCATATTACTGAGACCACAAGGCATTATCCTGATTCTGGATTAGTGTTTTCAGCTGTTTAGTTTCAGTATCTTTGGCTGTTTTAAAGAAGAAAAAATACATGTACACAGAGTAGGGGAGCTCGATGAGACCATTTAAATCCATATAAAAGACTCACTCCCAGTGCTGCTACGATAATACACATTTATTGTCACATTTACAACATATAAAATGTCACATATAAAAAATACATTTGTAAACGTTAAGGGAGCTTTGGTACCATAGCTTGTGATACAGTGATCATGTGCATTTTAAATTGCTACAGAAAATGACAAAGTGTAGTTTCATATGGTGGACTATCGTCAACACTATAATACTGACAGCTGAAACATTGTGTGAGTGGACGCTATACAGTGCAGCAGAAAACTAAAAGCATCATTCTTTACATGTACACATATGGCTATCTAGGTGTCATAAGTACGGTAGCCCTTCGGATCGGCAAGCGGCAAAAGCTGCAAGATAAAAATCTGTCAGTCTATACAAAGGCACTGATGTGTGCCATCTTGTGCTAAGGCAGTGATATGCTGTGTTTCGTTAGTTCACTTGAGTCACCTGTTGTCACAGAAACTGATTTACTGCAACAGCCACGTGTTTAGGTCAAAAGTTGATTCTCAGAGGAACTATTCCATCGTTACTGTATATGTACGTCTTCATTATGAATATCCACATTTTTCTAAATAAAGTGCAAGTCTGGCACAGAACTATGAATTAAATCTACATAAACAAGTATTCAAAATTCACAAACGACACATTTCATATAATCCTCACACACACAAAAAGAAAGAAAAGAAAGAAGTGTCTGACACTATGGCATATGTAACTAAAAAGAAAGTATCTGTCATAGTAAAACAGTGCATGTAGATTCTGTATTTCATATCCTGGAAATAACATTTTACAAAAATATTATAATTCAGCGAATACAGCTCTTGGTCGTACTTAGGTTTTAATTGAATTATTAACTTTCCATTATTGTGGTTTAGGACATAATGTTAATGATTCCCACTAATATGGGAATGGCATGTGGTTCTTGTTTATTTTTATTTATTTGATGTATATTTGTGTAGTGTTTGTTTATATTGTTGTGTTAATCATTTTGTGTTATCAAAACAAATACATTTTCTCATTTAACAAAACAAAATAAAACAAATAATACCCGCTTTTCTAAAAATCTACTCTGGTTGTTAACAGTAAAAGGGGTAAGAACCAAAAAGAGGCACATGGCAAAATGTTAAAAATAGATAAAAAAAAGCACATATCTCATAAGGCCTCATGGGTCTCTGGCTATGATAGAAAGTACAGTAAACACATGTTTAGTTACTGTAAACTGATTCTATAGGCGAGTACCATATTTGTATTATGTCAAGCCTCCAATCAAAGACTAGATCATAACATCATGCTAGTTATTTGTAACCATTTTATCGTTTCAGAGGTACTAAGTTTGATTCAAATCTCAGAAGCAGGGCAAAACTTTTCGAGTGCTTAGTGGAAATACAAAGATTGCCTTCTCAGTCTCAATTTTGCTACATTCTTGTTTAATCACGTTCCTCTTTTCAGGCAGCTTAGAAAAAAAAACCAATTCCCAGAAAAGAGGATGTTTTCTCAGGGTTTCTACATGTGGCTACAAGAAGCTGTCTTCTACCTCGGGCGTCCCGGAAGATCCCAGCAGAGCGTCTCTCTCGCTGGTCTCCTCCAGCCTGTCCTCCTCTGGGAGGGTGTCAGCAGTGTCCTGTGACAGGGAGTCAGTCTCCTCCTCCAGAGCCAGAGAGCTGAGGGCAGGAAGACAAAACACAATTTCACATTGTGCACTGAGTTACATATGAGTCATAGAAAGACACAACTGCAGCTCATATTTGTTAATGTCCGTCTGTGGTGCTGAGCTTAACGTCTTCCTACGTTTTTCATTGTCCTACCAGCAGCAGCGAGTCACATTTCAACTCAAATATGAAACTACTCACCCTTGTTGAGAGCATTTAAATAAGTTAGAAAAGTATTTCCAACGCAGTTCTTTGTACAGACAAATGTTGTGTTCACTTAAAGATTGTGTACTAATACAAAAGGCAATGCTTTTTACCTCACAGGGATGTTAAGCATCAAATGTCTAACATCCTAAAAATAGTTTTAAAAGACATTATATCATGTTGACAACTAGAGGGACAGTGATTTAATGTCTCAAGCCATAAATAGAACTGTATATAATGCATTATTTTTCATCTTTGATTAATCTGCCAAAAATCTTCTCAATTATGTGAGAAATTAAATGGTCTATAAAAATGTCACGAGGTTGCAAAAATGACAAATGCTTCTAAAGCTCAAGGCCACTGACAGTCTGATACCTCAAAGCCCAGTTTACATTTGGAAAGATGACCCATGTAATGAATACTTGGATTTTAAGATGCTGTCTGAAGTGTCCATGAGTTCCTAATTGATCAATCTATCAATCTATGTCTATTGCTCATGGGCGTCAAAGACAAAGTCACAGGGGAATTACTCTACTTTCAAAATCCATACATGCCAATCCTTTGGTCTGAGACAGTCTAAAAATGATCGTTAAACAAGAACAACTCTCTTCC